TACAATCAAACTATTTAGAGAGTTGCATGGAATTACCATTGCAGTTAATTAAATAAAGGAATAGTTTCGTTTACATTACGTCGTACCGGTGCATATGCGGTGTCCAGTTAGATTTTCGCAAAGTTAATCGAAATTCCCACGTCAATCCGAGCGTGTTACGTCTCTTGGAACCCCCTAAGCCTCCTAAATTCGCCCTTACCACCCGACGACCTAATCACTCGACTTCCATCACTCGCAGCTCCGAGAGATATTCTATCGCGATGTAATTTTCGTCGCACAAACGATCAGTTCCGATATTAATCCACCGATTAATCGTCGCCACCTATACGGAAGTTAATTGCTATCCAGATTTGTCACGTTCGACGTGCTCTCGTGTAGGCCGCCATCCGGCGAAATCGAACCATCATATCACGAGAGCGCTCGAGCGAGGAAAGTTTCACATTTGAAAAATGAACCGAGTCGCTTCTGGCGACTATGCTGGCACATCGAAACCCGTTCGATCAACAAGCTCGAAAATACAATCAGATATCTACGAGTACCGAATCTACTCACGTGTAATGGTTAACGTTATATTTGCCCCCCTCTTCCATGAAATCTACTTTCAACAATAACGAGTTCAATTGGAATAACATACAATTTCATAATATTTTTCCAAACTCGCAGTAATTTAAAAGCTAATTACAATGCAGAATTACAGCCTAAAAGATCGATTAATATTTATTTTTAAATTACGACGAAGAGTTATAGTCACGCTTTTAAAATTATAAAAACAATGATAAATTTTATTATTGGAAAATATTGCCATGTAATGAATATATATGCTGTCACGGTAATTGTGATATATAGACTGTTGACGCGGCGTAAAGAAGCCTTATAAAGGAAGAACAATAAAATGGATCCGCGCATTATTAAAAAATATTATGAAATTCAATTAAAAACTGTTCTATATTCCCGTCATTATTCGAAATGAAACCTATCTGCGATAATTTAAAATCATTGGAGGACAATATTGCATAGTCGCTTTTACGTAGATTCGAATAATTATATATGTTAATGAAATGCGAATATAATCCCGTACGCTATTTCAATATTAGCAAAATTACAATATGGGGATTTACAATATTTATAGCTCGGAGTTTCAGGTTACTTTTCATTTACGAGTTCCTTTACCAATTGGCGGTCGATTCTATATAATTAACCGATATATGTTCCCGACATATCATATATCATTTGCATTATATTATACAATATGTTTATATATATTGCACTTCCCCTCTTTCCGTCCCGTTCAACCAACGACTTCATTTCGGGCCATGTGTTCGTCGCGTTACGCGACGCGAAATCAGGCTTAGCCGATGAGAAATCCGTCATCGTCGGAGAAGCGTTTTCAGAGAAACGTGGCCGTATTATAATTAATCGATGCGTTTACTCGGACGTGGGACGTGGGGAAGGACGTGCGACTGTGTGGGTAGTGCGGGTATACGTGTGCCCGTGTACACGGCATCGCACTCCATGCGGCCGTAATATCCGGAAAAGCTAATTCACCGTTTATATGACAAATGGTGCTGAAAATATTTCCGCGCTTTTCACGTTAGGTGTATTTAACGCGTATCCGATTTAGACTCCGGCGAATACAAAGCCGAACATCGACGAGAAAATATAGCGCGGCCCGTTAGCTCTATAAAATAGTTAACACGGGGGTTAATTCGTTGTGGCGCGAAATAATTTCGACGATTGGACCGAAAATAGGATTGCACGGCGCGGCGGATTGAAGCCGCGCGTTCGCATAGCGCATCTTTTTTTCCCGCTGGATTTTGATACAATAAACAATAAACGATCCGGGATTCTGTCGACAGTTAAAAAAAAAAAAGCTTTTACAAAACAATAGCCAGTCGTAAATCTCGGCTATACATTTTCGAAACTTCATGTCAAAGTGGTTTCCATATTGTTACAATGAAATAGTGAGTGTTTTGTTTTTCCTTCGACGCTGCCACGGCCAAACATTGCCCAACGTAATAACCAATCTGCGTGCAGTCTTGTACAAAGCTTTGTAAAATTATATGTTTATTTTTGTATACATGTCGTGTTTCGCGGGTTTGCAAAAATATTAAACCGTTGCAAATTACCCTGTCAAAACTATCTACTATTTGGAGGAGGCCGGGGGGGATTAAACTTATATATAGTTGCATTTACATACGTGCCGCTTCCTTGTTAAGTCTTGTTCCGATGCAAATATGAAGAGATGCCAGAGAGATGCTTTAACGAAGAGACGTAATAGCAATAAATCCAACCGCGATTTCGAAAATTGGGTGCAGAATCGATACTCCTTCACTTCGAGCACAAATTTGCGGATACCTTAGTCTCTCCATTCTCAATAGAGGGTTAACAGATATGTCTTTCCCGCCCAATTTATGAGCGTAATACGTTCTACCACGCCTGATTTACGAGCCCAATTTTTTTTCCCCCGAGGCACGCGTCATCGCACGCGCGCGCTCGAAAGTTCACATCCCCTCGAGATTTTCGATCGTCAAACGTGGGTATATATAAGTGGGACTGAATCGAAATTAAACTAAAATTCGAACTCATCGAAGCGAGACTTACGTAAAGCATACGTACGTAAAGTACAAACGCCCTGCCCTTTGTATCCTTCTGTTCGTCCCCTCGTCTCTCGCCTCGCCTCACCTGGCCCCTTTGTGCTCCTTTTACAGACGTTCGGAATTTTACGAAAAGGGAGAGAGAGAGAGAGAGAGAGAGAGAGAGTGACGATGCTTCGGGAGCACAAGAATATTTTGCAACAGAGTAACAGGGCTACGTGTACGACCGAGAGATTGACGGGTGATATATAAGGTAATAGAGAGGAAGTTCACGGGACAGCTTACTGCACGGTAAATGACAGCGTCCCGAGTTCGGTGCAAAACACTAACTTTACGATCTCTTCACTTGTTAAACGTAATCGTATAACGTCCATATTTTTATATAGAACGATAAAATCTCATCGCGTTCTATGGGTCGTTTGTTTAGTTAGAATTCTGTACAGATAAAAATTATTACTGAGATAAACAAAGTTGAAATATATATTTGAAAATAACAAGATCCTCTTTAATGTCAATCAATAAATAGCAATACTATTTTGACAAATATATTTGAAAGCTATTAAAAATTATATAAAGTTCTGTATAGCTTTTGCTTTGAAGATATTATAAAAGGTAAAAAAAAATGTGAAAAAATATATGAATCGTCGAATGGGACAATTTTGCTTTTACACTTAGTAATTTATGTATTAATATTTATATCGACTTTTAATTGCCATCATTTTTTATACTCGGCATTGATTATTGTACACAAGTATTAATTAAAATCATACTAAAAGTACCATTTTAATAAATCCTATAAAAAAAAATTACCGGAAACATCATCGAAAGCTACATGGCAAAGTATATTAATTCGAAGTAATTTTAGACGACGAAGTTTCACGTAAAAAATCTCAGAGAATCACGGATCGAATTTAAATTACTATTCACCATGCACGCGACTTCGGTGTTTACTTTATTCAAGGCACGTCATTGCGAGAGCTCGTTAATAGAAACTTTTTGCAGCTGCTGCTTTCGCTATGATAAATACTAACGTCGCGTCGAGTCGCGTGTACGGTAAGTAACTGATGTGAATCTAAAATGAAAATTGCCACGACAGCTCGCCGTTGTCTCGCATCGAATATGGGACCGTGTGTTTACCGTACTACAGATACGGTATTGCAAGAACTCTTGTGTTTCGTTCGGTGTGTAGGCTTTAATATTCGCTCGTCCCATGCGTCGCGAATTCTCGTTCAAGGCCTGCCATTAAATCACAGAGAGGGATCGTTATCTACGGCACGATCGAGGAGTTTTCCTGGCCGTATTGAAAAGTAATTATTTTTATGATGATTAGAGTAGTTGATTAATGCCACTTAATATCCCATGGATGAATAAAACAACAAACGACTTCCCGCTGTACTTCTATCACATCGTCGATAAATAAAACGTAAACGGTAGAAGACACGTAGTTAATGAATATTTTAATGGAAACAATTATCTAAAATCGGCTAAAACAGGTGTTAATGGGGGGTGTATCTATGATTAAAATAATCATACATCAGTAAATTGTCAATTAAAATAATCACTTTATTAATCAAAACTATGTATATATAATCATAAATTATTCGATAATTACAAAATAAAAGATTATTGACTTATTTATTGTACATTGATACTTCGCGATAAAAAATTTTTTCCTGCGTAATAATTGCCATCATCAAAAAACTATTCTTATATGCAGTTATGACAAAAACTCATCAAAACAACGTAAACTATTTATATAAATTTAAAATGAGGTTTACATATATTGAGAATAATTTTAATGTGTTCTCTCTTTTATCTACATACAACTAAAAAACTTGTTATTTATAACTAATAAATATAAATTTTATTTAAAAATAGTCAATCTTTAAAAAATATTCTATTAATTTATAATACATCAACAATAAACCTATCCTTTTTCTGATTAATGGCTAATGACTTAATTGTGATCTACTATTATTATCTTAACTTTAATCGTTTCCATTAATTATGACTCCTTATTGTTCAATGATCATAATTATTAATTAAACGACTCGGCAATCAATACTCGCGGATTGATTTTATTACACTTTGCTCAACTCTGTGTCTTAGGTAAGGGAAAGAAGATAAACGGGGTAAAGAGAATCGGAGGGTTGTAAGGGCGGAGGAAGTGTGCAATGGTGAATGTGGTGTTTGATAAGTGGCGCGGGACACAATCAGCGGTACGAGATAGCGGATTGACGAATCTCTCGACTTCCCCGCGGACGATCATCCCCGTGGCCAGTGACGGAGGGTGGATTTCGAGTACCCTGCTGAGGGATCGTAAAGAGAACGTGAGGAGAAGGAACAAGGAGGCGGCGCGAGGAGTAGCGGCGAAAAATCGGGAGCAATAAAAGGTCCTCGTGACGGAGGGGCTTCGCACGGCCCTGGCGCGACTGCGGCACTGTACCCCTGCGGGGGGCTCGCTGCCGAGCACACCGAATCCACCGTCCACCCCGGAACACAAGTCCCAAGTAAGCGCACATGAAAAATGCAACAATTCTTCGATTAAGCTTCATTTTCTTTATCTATTCTATATTTTATATGTTCTGCTCACGATCGTTGATTCTCCAATAATCAAAGTCATTTAAGGGTGTTCTAAAGAGTTAGTTAAAATGTAACGAAGTTGACGAAAATTTAATATCATATATATTGTGTATTCTCTTTTAAAGTTCGGGGCTAAATTTCAAATCGATTCACAATTTAGATAAAAAGTTATTAATTCTTGAATATCCGTTTTACAAAGGGTTTTACAGAGAAAAATGTAAACATTAAAAAATGTTACTAATATATTAATATTTTACACACAAGCAGATCATCAACAAACAAAAATATAGCAACAAAATTTGAAACGATTTACAATTTTTTTTGAAAAAAATAGAGTAGTAACAGTTATTTACAGTCACTAAATCTACGTTTCATAGATGTTCCGTAACTATTTATATACATTTTTTTGTCTTTGGATTCCTGGAGAATTAATATCAGTTTTTAATATTTCCTGCATACTTTTGGTTGGGACGGTATCTATAGAACATCCTTAAACTAACTGAAATAAACTCCAACAAAGCGAATCGTGATGGAAAGAAATAGAGGATTCCTCTTCAAATTCTTTTTTCTCATATCGGCGAATTCCAACAAATCGCTCCAATTGATTTTCGCGTGACGGATGACAAGCTACGAGGGACATCCTACGCGCGCGAATCCGTAAATCCGAACTGTTGCAGGGGTGTTCGAGGAGTCGTGAGTCGGCAGCCAGATGTGGCAGTTTGGGAAGTAACGCGGGTGACACGGGGGATACATCGCAGTCGCAGCCATTGCGGGGACAGCATGGAGCCGACGGCGGCGGCGGCGGCGGGCGGGACAGCGATCTTCTGTCGTCCGCGATCCGACGGTTTAACTTCAAGTCGGCCGGCGGCAGCCGTAGCTGCCGCACAGTGCCGAAAGTCGTGGTCATGGGCTCCAGCACGGCGTCCGAGACCACGATCAACACGAGCACCGACAGCGCCAACACCATGCTCACCATGGTAGGTAGGATGACAAGCGTGAATTAGACGCGTTTTATCAAACGGCGTTGGCGGTGCAAATTTGACTAGACGTGCAAATTTGATGAGACGTGGGTGGCCAGTATAAATACTACAGAATGCAAGATTTGTACACACGCCGAAAGTATTATATACGGTGAATATTACTTCAATAAACGTTATTAAAAACTAAATTAAAGTCAAAATTAAAATCAAAATTAAATTCGAGATTAAAGTTAAATTCGTGCGCATCGTCGCGAAATTGAGTTTGACTTAAGTTGACCAATCTATATTTACGAAATGTATTTTATTAATATCGTTATTACGCAACTCTATTAGACTTGAATGTACGTAGGAACGCTGATCATTATATTATTAATATTGACGTTGTAGCAGTGAACTACATTGCATGCTTTTACGAAGCAGTGTTAAAGTTAAATACATGCTTCGGTTACGAGTCTCATAAGCATTAAATATTATTACGTGCGATATTAAATAGTAATTAGATATATTAATTGATGAAGCGCACGTGCCCCGCGATATTGCATCGCAGTGCCGAAGAAAGTTAGTAAATTATGCACCGACACATCGATGAAACGCGCTTCCATGTTTGCTGTTTAACGAATCCGTACGGAGGAAAGTATATGTTCTTCGCGTTGGGATTTAATGGGTACCTTTGCGTGCTTAGTATTCATATTTTAGTCTGCGGTTAAGCGTGAAGCCAACGTGCGAGCCTCGTCATATACACTTTTTCGCTCGGGGCACATGGTACTTTAAATTAATTTTAAATGAATTAACAAATATGCCCGAGTTAAATGAACAATTACAAGAACCGGGTTTTTTCCTCGTAGGGCACACCTGAAGGGAGTGATTAATGCTCTGGATTCATGGAGTAACGAACGAACGCGATCATTTCCGAATTAAGCAATTTGAGATATCAAACAATCCTTTTAGATTACCAACTGTTTCGACGAGATATTCTTTCGTTACTTTCCACAAACTCGGATACATCAATCAATTTCTCGAGTGATAAGTGCTTTAAGGAAATAATCTGATTCCACGCGAAAACCTTAAACGTTGCACGCGAGGTAGTAATTTAATAAATACAGAAAATCTGACATATCCTGATATAGAAAATAGAAGGGAAAAAAGAAGGAGAAAATTAGTTTAGTTTGTGAGATTTCGTACAGCGTTGAATTTAATAAGAGAGATTTTCTGATGAGTTTAAAATCGATTTTTTAAACAAAACTATCGAGAAAATTTTTGCAATTTTTCCTAATTTTTATAATATTCTATATTTTTATTAAATTTTAAATTAAAAATGTGTTAAAATCTACTGAATATTAATCTATTAAAACATTATTATTTATCTATTAACATCTCTGAAGGTTTATTTATTCACTTATTTCATCATTCATACTTCAAGAGCTATTCACGCCTCGATATATATTTTCGGTAAGGAGAAATTATTTCGGGGTCTCGAACGCGAAATGTCATCGCTGTCAATCGCAGCAACTTTACACGTATATTTATATATTACATTATTTCATATGCTTATATATACACCTATATATTCTACATGAAATTAAAAATATCAGCAACTGTGTAACTGTAAATGTTGGGACGATTTCTGTTTTCCGTTCATAGGTAACGACGACAGACGGGGAGCAGCCAGACGACAGCTTCGATCTAATCGACGTACCGGCCGAAATGTCACCTCCCGCTACGGCCCCGTCTCAACAATCATCCATCCATCCCGCTGGTCATCGGGGGCATCCCGATGACACTATCGGGAGCAGCCATACCTCGTCGCCGGCATCACCTACATCACCGATCTCCGTCGCGGCGCCGGCGAATCAAACCACCCCGCCGTTACCACTTCCGTCGACGCCCACGACCCCGCTTTGCACCTTCGATGGGACCGAGGTCGCCGGGCCCTCGGGTCGCTGTATGCGCTCGAGACTCGATTCGGGTCAACCTGACGGTAACAATAAGACGACCACCGGTTCCTCTATCAATCAGGGACACAACTCAAATAACGGCGCCGAGGGCACGACGACTCATCCGCCGCCCACGCCCATGGTCCCCACGCATCAGGAGACCAGGTTTACCTTCGGCGGTAGCGGCAGGACCCCGCCTCTTCCGGATCTCAGAGCCGCGGATTTCTTTAGGTAAGTTTAACTGACTGTTCGGTGAATGACGACCCCAGTGAAACGCGGTTAAATGAGTGGCAGCGAGTGACATCACTGTGGAAAGTAGATTTTACGCTAACAATAAGATGAATTTTATGAAAAACTTCAGCTGGCCTATATTTTGAATGAGAAATATCAATGTTACAATGCAACGTAATTTAATTGAAATTTAGAAAATCAAAAACGTTGAGATGTCTAAAAAGTGCTATGTGAAATGTCCGGAAGACTCCCCTATCTTGAAATTAAAGAATTTTAAGAAAATTTATAAATGAACGAATTTTTTGTCTAAATTACATATATAACATATATTGCCTAGTGAACTACATAATCCGTTAGTTATATTTCTCTTTTTTCGATTTTAAATCGCTATGTTGTGCAATAATTTCCAGATTAAAGATTTCTATCTCTGCTCTGCTTCGGGCAAGACTGAGATTTCCTAAGGGAATCAAATGTCTCTTTTACTTCTGTTATCTTTTCCCCTTGGAGTTACAAAGTTTACGGCCAAGCTACGAACTACAAATTTTCTGAACTGACCGCCTGGGCTAAATTTTATTCTAAGTTTGGGGAAGATTTAGGGGACATCTTTGGTTCGGCTGTGAATTCGTCAGTCAGCTGCCACTCGCGTTATCGCGACGAAACCGTATATAATCCGGTTTGTATTTAGCACCCCCGTGAGAGGCTCGGTGGACGCGGGTCAGCCCAATTCGGCCGATACGCGTTCCTCGATTCGAAATCTGGTGGCCGCCCAGGAGAAGCAGAACACCAGGGCGGGATATCAGATCGATTACACGGCCAGCGGGAAAGTCAACTCGATTCAGGCGAACACGCTTGAGAAGGGCACGACCGAACACAGGCGAAGCCAGAAGAGGCCCAACATCAACGTGACGACCAATCCGCTCGATATATCGCTCTTAAGCGCGACCCAGCCGTGCAATACCCAGGGCTGTAACATTCAGAGTAGCGCGAGCACGAAATCGCGACGATCAGCGGGTGAGTCTCTTGAGAGTCTCTTCTTGTTTTCTGCGAAATAGTAAACCCCTCGGTACCACGTTTCTAGGTAGTTTCTTAAATGCGATGTCAAAAATTCGCGTTGAAATCGCGACGATGACAATAGACTATACGTCGTGACCCTCGTCGGAGATAAAAGGAAGAAAGAAAAGAATTCTCTCGCTCGTTCTATTCGCCCCACCAACGTCGCTCTCTTGAATTTCTAGGCGCGAATATATTTCTCTCATTCTCTCACTGTCTGCCTCTCTTCCCCTCTACCCCTCTTTCATTTTGATCTGGTTGCCGAATTCATATTCACAGTAATTTAGTTGATGAGCTTATGATACAGGATCCTACTAATGGCGATCGATCGCGCGTTCGTGGTTATCATTACGAATTGAAGGGCAGAAAACCAGCAACCTCGGTTAAGCATTGATCGTGAGCCACCGATTTTACTCTCTAGCTGCGTATACGTTACTTAACCGGGGCTGTCGATCGCTCTAACCAGTTAAGACTATCGATCGATTCTGCAGTCGAGTTGTTTAAGTAATTCCAGTTAGGGATTCGCTATCTCTAGATTGCGGGGCAGCTATACACTATATGATACTTATAATCTTGTCTATAATACATAGAGACCGTGGAAAGGTCTGATCAAACACGGAATATTTTATTGTTCTTATTAAAATTAGTTGAAAGCTGTAAAAATTAATTAAATTAAGATACCATACTACTAATTTTATTGTTAGAATATCACTCCATTGTCTCCTTTATCCGAAACCGTAAATTATTCTGCTTTTACCTCACGTCTTCGCGTTAATTTTAACGACATTTGCCCGAATAGAGGAGGTAAAATATGCCTAATCAGGCAAATTAGCGCTAATTGACATCGATGTGAATCGATCCCATGCGTTTGTAGATATATGTGTGCGTGGAATAACGCGCGCGTGAAGTAGAGGAAACGAGAGGAGACGAGAAAAATGACGGTAGCTCTAAGGAAATGAATTGATGTTCTTTTCTTTCAGAATCTCATCCACTCGTTTCAGCCATTCATTCATGGGTCAGGCTCTTTTTCCCGTTTTGCGCAATAGGTATTACATAGTCCGGCGAATAGACGATATAGTCGTTCACGTATCCACACCGGAGCGACCGTCGAAAGCGCATGAGACCTTATGCAATGACGTTGACAACAATGACGATGACAGTGATGACGATGACAGTGATGACGATGACAACGATGACGATGACAACGATGACGATGACAATGATGATGACGCATTAATGATAATATGTGTGAATGAGTGGAACGCGACTTGATAAAAGCTTTCTGTCATTCGGCGGCCGCCCTTTTTAATGGTATTGCGTGGATACAATACGGTAACACAAATGCGACTATGCGAATGCGCTTGGGCTTCTTCTCCTTTGTTCTCCATCTCTTGTTTTCGCTGCGTTTATCTGTCCTCTCGCTCTTCTTGCGTTGTCAATCAACTGCTTGCGCCTCTTTCGCGCGAATCTCAGATAACCAGCAACGGCAACGTGCGACGACGACAGCGACGACATTTATCGACCCTATGGGAGAGAGTAAGAAAGAAGCACGATAATGAATATTACGTTCTGGACGAAAATATTCTTGACGAAAAGTCATTCTCGCGAAACGGTCTTTATGAGACGCGACGTTCTTAATGTCGTAGTCGCGTTGTCTTGTTGCTGCGAAGTCTGCGATGATAATCGGCACCGTAGCCGAGGGAAATATCATCACCGGTGCTTTGATCATTAATTAAAAATCCGTTTTGAGTATGCAAAATACACCGACCGGCTTAGTGTGATTTCTGTCGCCGTCGTAAAACCGTTCGCATAAACACTAGTTAAAATGCACGGAGGATTAAAAAAAAAAGGACATCTTTTTTGTAAAAACAGATCTAAACTGATAGGGGCTCAATTAAACCTCCATTAATTTAATTCAATGCTTATGGGAACGATTGATAAAGGAGGAGGTAGAAACATGGAAAACTCATTACGCTATCAATCTGTAAGATTAAATGTAATTTTATAAATCCCGTTTGTTATATTCGTATTTTGAATTTTATGCATTTTCAGAAATACAAAATGAAATTATATCGTACTGTTTATTACAATAAAAAACATTGTATACTTTCTGAAAAAAAAAATTATATATTTCGTCATTATTAATTTCTACCTCTTCCATATTTCTGCTTTCTCTTAGTACTGTATGTATTACAAAATGTGAATTTTGTCGTTATAGATAGATGAATAGATAGACGTAGATTCATCAATGAATACCACGAAAAAAAATTAAAATCAGTATAATTTCATTGAGCTCATATTTTAAATGCTGCAAATATGAAAAAATGCATTTGCTACAATAAGTATTTTTATTCCTAATAACTAAATAATTAAAACTAAGTTTGAATGAGTTTGAATCCAATTCAAAATGTATTTCATGTGAAAAAGTTATCGTTAAACATTTTATATGTAGCTGTATTAAAAAAATAGAAAGTTTGTATTATATGCATTTTTCACTACGATGAGAGTATAGTTTATATATTTCATTATAATTTCTCTCTTTTTTCAAATTTTAATTAATATTATTCTTACAAATATTTATTCGGATACAAGCAGACATTTCAAAAAGAGTAAGAGTTTAAAAAAAATAACATCTAATTTTATCTTGACCAAGAGTGGACACGCAAAATTACACACGATCACGCATGACTAGATTTATTTTCGCATATTTGTAGCGTCGAAATCTGGAAACTCGTTAAAATATTATGCCAGTTTTAATTCGTGCGCGATATCTGCAACGCGATCGCTCGCTTCGGCTACGCCGTGCCGTTTAGCAGCGCGAAAGAGAAGACTCGGGAATGCCGCTTGCGACTCCTGCTATCGAATCACGCTTTGTCGTTTACCTGTTTGCTTCTATTCACTAGTACACTACACTACACGCCGCGAAGCCTGCGGGATCGCCGTCCTCGCTATCCGCAATCCCCCGCGTTATTATTCCGTCCGTCACGTCGACAGTGTCGGATGGAATCTCGGTAATTGCAATTGCGCGAGACTCGAGCTCTCGCAGATTGCAGAACTTTTGTTTAAACGAGAGGGGTTTCCGCGTCTTAAAGATGCCCGTTGATCTCTGCACAGGCTGGGCTGAAAATTACTACACCAAGAAAAAGCTTGAACGAGAAAAGTTTACGAAAGAACAACTATCATTTACGTAAAAGGATTTCTGAGACGATCAATTATTATTGTTGACACTGATTTCGAATCCTATTTGCTTCGAAAAGGAATTTATAAAATTCACTTCAAGTGCAAACCCAGTAGATGGTCGTCTATAAATTTATGGGTCAACCGTGATTGCCAATGAATTTCTTCGCGTTTCATTTTTTTTCACCGTTTTAAAGGTCATATGCATCTCGTTTAATCGAAATGCTAACACAATGTCTACATTTTATTAAAAAAAAAAAGCAATCACTTTAATATACTATAATATGCATGGAAATTTTTATCTTCCACGCATTTTTACGCTTTTTACCTTTGCACATCCGAGAGAGAATTGCGCGATCGATTCTGAAGGCAAGATTTCCTAACAAAAATTGAATACTATTATATTGAACAACGGGGCATAAAGCTCTGCAATCAACTCTGAACTTTAACTTCGAATTCGAACAAAAGTTTCATATGTCACGACGCGATTAACATACTGCAGAAATATAATACATTAATATTCAACGTTTCTAGGATTACCAAAAGTTTCGATATCAAATTTTCTTATCAAGCAGAATTAATATCTCTTGTTAAAGTAAATATCGAAATTAATTTCGAAACAATAAGCTTCGCTTTCACTTTTCACTTTATTTTCAATCTTCTCGTTTTTAGTCGTAAACAGTTGAGCAACTATTCTTGGAATTTTCCTTTTTGAAATGATATATTGATTCTAAATATTCCATAGGAACTATATAAATATAGAAATAATAATCAATTTGACTTTCTCTATGCTTTATAACTGTTTGTGAATAAAATAAAGCTAAGGAAACAAATGGCAAATAGAACGGCGTGTAATTTCTTTATTTAATCATCGAGGCTATCTAATCGTGACACTATCTCTCTTTGCTTTTTATCTAAAACCGCAGAAAATTTTTTGGAGTAGCGACCCTTAACCCAGCCTGTACACTCAACGGATAAATACACTTGAACTTTTCACAATGTCAGCGCTATCGAGATTTTACCCCCGTGTCGAAAGGATCGTCGCGAAGTATCATCATCAAAATGGTTTACGGGTGACGGCGGTTTCGTCGGGACAACCGCGGATGCGTCGTCAGGCACGCTTCACGCGTAAGCGTACCCTCTCGGCAATTTTGCCGAAGAGGGGAACGAAGAAGGGTGGCCTAAAAAGATTCCAGAACCGCATTCCGCGAAAGCGGAATGAGAGGAGATACGGGAACGAGGACGCGGGGACGAGGGGACACATCTCTTTCTCTCCCGCCGATTCGTGACCCGCAAGATCAACGAGCCCGAGAACGGGATAATGGACGTAAATTTTTCATATCCGAAAGGCGGAAGTGCCGGTGGCGGCAGCAAGCGATCGACCCAGGCGACGATCGTGGTGCAACAGCCGTCCTTGTCGCTGGACGCGCCCGCGGCGACGATTCTGCTGCACCCGGACGCCGACGCGAGGCGACGCGAAGAAAACATGCGGCAGCTGCTAGACGTTGCCAATACCCTCACCCTACAGGAGATACACGACTTCGAGATGAGGTGAGCAGAGCAGATATCGACCGTTGCTGCGGCACTTGCGGTTTTATGACACAGAAAACGATGCGCGATCGATATCGGTGATATAGACGATAAAAATTCAGGAAGACGTAATCAACGGGTAATATTTGATAAAATATTCGCTGTCTTTTAAAATTCTCTCCTCTCCCCTCTCTCTCTCTCTCTCTTTTCTCTTATAATACGATTACATATAAATATAAATAAATTTGTTTCAAAGAGAGACAGTTTTCTCTGACCGGAATTTAACCGACATCGTTATCAATTTTTAGCAATATGATATCATTATTTTAAATATTTCGGCGCATTTCTCTATCTCCGACAGTACTTTTAATAAAACACATTTTAGATAACATGGTCAACAAGATATCAAGATATTAAAAAAATATTAAACCGCTCTGCGCAGTGAGCTCAATAAAAATTTTTCTCTCATGTATTTCAAGTCATTTAGTATGCTCGCGGTCGCGATAAAAGGAAGTTTGCCCGGAAATTTTTTCGGAAGTTCTAGCCAGAGATATTCAATATTTATGGATTTATATACAGAATATCTCAGAAGGAAAAATCCATACTTCGAAAGAGCATCAAGCACTGTAGATAGAAAGATTTATAAACAGGTGTCCAGTTTCACATATGTTTCAGAACTATATTGGTTTAAATTAAAAAAATATATATGTATATGTATAAAGAGATATCTATATATTTTATTAATACGAATATTAAGAAAAGAACATCTCCAATATTTTTCAGATTTCAACATGTTTAATAATAATAATTTTTTGGTATTTTTTAAATATAAAACTATTAAAGGATAAAATTTAAACCAATACCTCAAATTAAATAACATTTTGTTATTTTGAACTACCATGTGTGTCGAAATTTGTTATTTTATATTTTATCAAACTCAAAACAGTATTATTTTAAGTCCATTGGTCTAGTTAAATTAACATTGTTTTAGTTAAATTAACGACATGTTTTGCGTAAGAACAATGTCGATCTATAGGAAGATTGAGTATAATTTGACACTACGACAGTGTACGACAAGTTCCGAGAAAGTTCGTTTTCAATCCAAATATTCTTCATAATTTTATAGCATATGTAAGCTTCATAATTTTTCATGATACTATTACAACAACTCACGAAATTAGTTGAAAGTAGTGTTTCAAAAAATTTCTTTAAAATTATTTAGAAATATATTACTTTAAGAAAGATTATTTTTATATTTCTTTAGTAATATACAAAGATATTATTACATTATATTATCAAATTTTATGAAACTGTTTTGAATTTTAAACAATTTCAATGATTTTATTTCCTAGCTCTGAAGTATGATTTTTTCTTCTGGATCTGCGTCGATATTATCAGATAGTGACGATCAAATAACCCGCAGATATGGAAGCCCTCATCATAGTCGATCACAGTCAGTGAAGGCTCCTGGCAGTCGCTCTTCCGGTCGGCCGAATTATCTGTGTCTTCCGCAACAAAGATCGCGAGTGGCGAGTATGCCCAACACCGGCGTGGAGGAGGAGTACTACAGACTACGGCACTTCAGCATCACGGGCAAGGGGGTGGTAAACCGGGGCGACTCCCTAAAGAGCCGCAGATCGCGCTCTAACAATAGCGTCGCGTCCAGCAACTCTAGGTAAGTTCAAGCATAGTTAATGGGGGCAAATGTTATAATTTGACAAACAATCTTGTGATATGAGCAGGTAAGTGCTATGTGTTCCAATTCTAAAACGTTCGAATGTTGGTAATCTCCAACATTGACGCAGAGTTATATTCGCCAAATCTCATAACTTCCTTGTTTAAGTAAAATGTGGAAATCGCGATATTTTTAAATATTTAACGCGTTATAAATTCATGATTACTAGCAAAATAGATTCACAGCTCTATATTTCTGAGTCTCTTACCGAGATTGCTACCAAAAAATAACGATCTCTACGGAATATTCTCGCGATGTATCTTCTATAGTATCCCGCAGCGTATACAGGAAATTTACTGCAAAATTGATAAGAATGTATTTTTGTTAATGCGGTGTCGATAGTAGTAGCGATATCGACACGATCGACAGTTGCACTTATTACTCTACGGTCGAGCGGTGATATTTGCGATTGTACCACCTCGTCTACTCTCAGCTCTGGAAGGAGAGTACCGTAGAATATTTCCGGCCTCTATCTCCGGTTCGTCTTCCGGTTCGTCGTCGCAGCGGCAAGTTGGACTGTCGCTCTAGATCGAACGCGTGAGTTTACGTGTGGCGTTGAAGTTACGTAGACACGCGCGTTGGACCTTAGAGCGTGGTCTTCAGACATCATACAAATATAATATACCGAAGCTGGGACCGGGTATTACGCAGTTGGCATAAAGAAACCTCAAGAGATATGAAATATTATTATTCTGTATTTGCCTTTTTCGGAAAATGTTCCACATTTTCGCATTTCGAAATAATATATTGCATTTTCTACATAAAATATCTTCCGCAAAATATACTTCAATTTGTATTTTGTATTTGTACTTTTTTATAGTATATTTATATAATCTCGCGTAATATATTAGAGAGAAAGAGAGAATAAAGACAGAATTAAGACAATTTGATTTCACATAATTAATTTCACTAACACCTTCAGAGATCTGTTATGCTTGTTACAGTAAACACAAAGTTGATTTAGTCAATAAATTGAAAAATGCAATTAATTAGAAATTAATAAATTCAACTTTTGTTATATATAATAGTTACAAATTACATTTTCTGCATACTCTTTTGTTTGAATAGAAAAATGTTATCTGATATTTTTTAATTTCTGTGTATGACGCTAGTATTTCAGAATATATAACAGAGCATATTTAATAAAGAATATAAAGACAGACGCTATAACGTTTTTTTTACGGAGATATATTTCTATATGTATATAAATATACTTAACACGAGACATTATTACGTCTCTTTAAAATGAGATATGAAAAATATGAATAATAATATAGTAATATTTAATGTAAAATTACTAAAATTTAATAATAACAGTAATATTTTCGATAAAATTAAATTGTATTAAATTTATATATGTTTGAATTTATTTGTATTATTGTCTATTTATAAGAATGTCATACATTTGTATGTTTTTATTTTTGAGAAAATTAAAAGTATCTTTCATGAAAAGGTAGGACAAGTGGAATCTAAATGTCATTCGAGAAATCCGCATTATGCAGAAAAATGAAAAGATGTCTGAATTCACATACAGCAGAAGATTCTGATAACTTCATCTAAACTCTGTGACAGAAGATTAAAATAATTGTATTATCCAGCCATAGTTATGTAGGTACCATATATTAAAAGGAAATGTTGAGAATATATTAAATGCATGTAAACTATTGGCAAACACGGACTATATAAGAGAGTTTGATTTCCCCCCGGAAAGAATATTTGTATATAATATATTATAAAATATTTATATGTAGCAGTGCTTAATATCGAACTAAGCAAATTAACGAAGCGCAAAGTATCAATGACTCAAGTAACGAGTCGTGTCATTGTAAGCGCTAATCTTATTACTCAGATTCTGCCGACCGAAGTGTGAACGTTGAATATTCACGCGCGATTGAATAAACCTGTTACGATACTTTTTCCCTTTCTAGACGCGACTACCGTGTTTGATATCGATATATAAAACGAAGAGTGAATATCGCATGGAACAAATTTCCAATGTACAATATGCAGAATATTTTCTAAAGTTTGTCGCAGGAATATCGAATTGCAGGAGCGTGTTCTGCGACAAAATCGTAGTTGACCTTTCCTCTGTGAAAATTTAAAACGAGGTGTAATTTCGAGTGTGCTTAACAGAGATGAGGGGCTAAAATACTTCAGAAAATAAACCCTTCAAGGCTTAACGTGTAAGAGAGATATTCTGTGTCTTACAGTTAATTAATTGCCCGTAGACTTTAATGAGATTTTAATTTGAAGCTTAGTTACTCAAAATATTTGACGTTGAAAATTTGGAAGTTAGGGAAAATACGAGGGGAGCATACGACCGATGAAATTTTCATCGAGATAAAATCAGTTTATATCTCTTCGCAGAAGAGGTTCTCAAAATTTCATTCGAATCTCACGAGATGACTTCTGCAGCAACACGCGTTGCGCGCGACATTTAGATTTATTACCTATTTAAGATACCTCGAAAGAAAGGTAAATTATACCACACGTACACTTGGCGCAAGACACTTCGTGTCTCTTGATTTATGTAATGCCAACATACATGTATGAGACATAATTGTATTTTATTACTTACAGTTAATATAGCAGTAATAATATAGAAACAAATAAATTTGGAATCTAAAGTAGATATTATATTTTCTAAAGAGAAAACAGTTACTGTAGTTTAATTTTTGTATAAATATATTTTGATTATTTTTTTTTTTTAAGTTTTTTTAATTTAAAGATATATTTTGATGAAATAATGCGCGAGATGCAAGAATTTTTCATGGGATACTTCCGCCTTAAGAAAGCAATTTTTCTTTTCATCTGATCCGGATTACTTGTGTCATGTAAAGCTAAGTATCTTCCATAAGCATTTATGATTTCTCATTATGCCTAAGAACTCCTTTGAGAGATTATAATGCAACTCAATTCTTTTCAGAACTTTTTTTTAGAATTTATTTAAATCGAACAATCTATCTAATTGTAAACCTCCAGATCTGTTTGAGAATGATGATCGTTTTATCCCTGAAATAATTCAGCGGATGAAAACTTGATTGAAAGTATTTTATAGTTATTATATATAGTTATAGTATTATAGTTTATTATATTTTTATTATAAATTCCTGAATGGCTAAAATATATAAAATTAAATATATATTTATATGGTATAATAATAATAGAGAAATAAAAATACATTTTTCAATTTTCCAATAAGATATGTATGATGCTTTTTACTCAGCTGTAGTATTATTACGAATCTAAAAAAATTACGTTCTAAAAAACTGAACGTCCGTGACATTCGTTCATTTTTGTGTCTAAGCAAAAAATCCCCCCCCCACCCCCCCCAAATCGTCGATCAAAAAATTTAAGTGCAGCATAGTATATCTTTCCTTATTTTCTTGAATTTTTTAACGAAATAAGTTTTGATTTTGATATAAATCGACGATGTAGCTTTATCCTGTGCTAATCTCAACACGCGCCTAGTCTTTCTTCTATTCGACGCAGCACGGAACACCTGACTGCCTCGTACCCAGGAACGGCGCGGAACTCGGCGGCGGGCTCGTTGGCGAGTTCGAGGGAGAGCAGCGCGTCTCAAGGTCCGGCGCCGTATCGCGTCCTTATGCTGGGCGCCCCCGCCGTTGGCAAGAGCTCGTTGGTGTCTCAATTTATGACTTCCGAGTACCTGCACGCCTACGACACTTCGATCGGTGAGTCGACATACACACAAGTTGCAGTCATCGCGACCGCAAAATCTACGGCCTACCGTACCCCGTCGTCCTCGTCCGACTACGGCCGATCGATCGAACGCGGCAGTCGGCACGCGACCCCCCCGTAAGAATCCCCGAAAGCCAGCCGGATCACAGAACATATATAATGAGCCGGATAGACTGGGAATGAACCGGAACGAAAACAAGCAGGGCGCTCTCCATTCGAGTTTGGAGTGTGATGTAATTGTTTTGTTCGAGCGGTCACGGAAAAATCCATGCATCACATGCATGCGCGATACAAAGCGGCGTGGAATGGCCCGGAATAGGGGCAACACGATGTTTTCGGATCCCCACTGTTTGATCTGCTGTGTGTGCGTGAACCGAAACAAATCCGATTTAAATGCTGACACTATATTATTTCGAGTTACTCGGAAGTCTCTGTACCAAAGACTTCACCCCGTACGAAATAAATTCCCACTCTCCACAAAATATGAATCTTTATTTATACAATTAAAGTAAAGCTGTTGCGAGTAGTGCTGCGTCAGTTTCACGAGGATCTTGCCGAATTATCAAACTTATTCGAAAACCGATGAGGAAGTTTGAATTCGGCCTGATTTGCACTTTACAAGTACCGGCATATTCCTAGTCTGAATTGCATTTAGAATGAAGGACGCTTCTGAAGTGACACTTAACTTAGTCTCAGACGTTTGTTTCCCCATAAAATCAGGTTAACTGTTCTGGCTTTATTTGTTAATTACTTAATAAGCTATTTAATATACATTTCACTCGCTCGTGATACCATCTCCGAGTATTATGGAACTTTTCGGAATGGATTTCGATCGGAATTGTTTAGTTATTTCCTGGATTTCGATTTTGCTTTCTAGGGAAAACGGAATAATTCCGATCGGATTCCATTCCGAAAAGTTCCATAATACGTGCCCTGAATTCAACTAACTTAAAATTTAAAAATCTAACTGTATTCTCGTTCACGTTGCAGATGACGAGTCCGGCGAAAAGACCGTCAGCGTGCTCTTGGCTGGCGAGGAATCGGAATTGACTTTTATCGATCACTCTTGTGCCGAAATGACGGTAAGTTTATTATACAGTTTATCTGTACATATCATCGTATCGCGAATTTTGCTAATGTTGACATTTGTGAAATTGAAAAACAAAATGTTATCAGAATTAGTATCGAGTAATAAATTTTAATTAAATGTTTACCAAGCAGAAATCCATTTTAGATATTTTATTTCAACAAAATTATTTTAAAAAAATGTGTAAAATAAAATTCCGCTCGGCAAAAATTTCATTAAATTATCTTATATAACATATAATGGACTAGAAATATAAAATATAGTCATATTTTTATCAAGAGAAGAGCAGAATGGTGAAGACAGTCGATGTGACTGACAATGAATTTAACAACAAGTCTCAGAAATTTCATAGTCAATCGCTCATTGATGCGCACGTATCATTAATGTCGCTAATTTTCCGTACCCCTGAACTAATCATTTTCGCCGCAAGCTCGATCTCCAACCAGCTAGCCAGCCAGTCTCCTCTCGTTTTCGTCGAACAAACGGATGAGGGGACCGCGCCTGAACCTCCGGTGAAGTGCTCTCACGACGACGGAGACGTCGTAATCGAGTTAACACGGGGGGGCGGACAGGTTGAAAGGACGGTCCGGGAGGGGCGCACGCGGTGTGTGCTTTTGTACCGCGGGAATTAAATTAAAATCCATTTTCCACGGTGGGCGAGCTGACGCGTTGGCGCGACGATACTCGCGTACCGCGCCGTAAATGTGGAACCCTACTGCATGCCGTGATATATATACACAGTGGCCTACGTCGGAAGGGGGTTGGTTGACTGTGGGACGGGAGGGAGGGGGGCGGGAACGCGGGGATAGAGCCGCGCCGCCACGCTTCGCCAGACAATTTCAATCGAATTTACCCTTTAATTAAAACGTACGTTCGCAGCCGTTCGCGTACAACGCAACTCGTATATCACGCGCGGTCGACCGCTTCGCCGATACGCGCTCGCGCGCATGCGGCCGATCTTCGCGTGTGCCGACGAAAACGGCGAACGATTGCGCCACGTTAATGGCGGTCGAACTCTCGAGTTCCGAACTTCCTGAATTCCCGCGGAATTCCGGCGACCGAAGGCCGTACCCGCGCGGGACGGCCTGATGCGCGCCGCCGTTATTCTTGGTACCGCGAAAGTCAAGGCTGGCCTCTAATCACGTTAGGCCGCGAGGCCGCGATCCTGATTTTCGCTGATAGTCCCGGAATTCGATTAGGTCGGCCTCTACCGAGTTAATGCGTATTTATTACGCAGATAAACTTATAGGGTAGCAATTTCTTAACACAGATAGGATAAAAAAAATTAAGATGGCATCTCTCCAATTGTCGATAATGGAGGAAATTGTCTCCTTAATTAAAAAACGAATTACATTTTATTCATCTTCTTCTTTATGATTTCTTAGAAATATATCTAGAACGATATTTTTATATATAAAAGAAATCGATATTTCGAGCTCAGGTTGCTACGGCATATCTGACATGTCCTAGATCTAACGAGTCAATTTTCATCAATGTATCCTTCAATCAATTCGAGATACCTTTTACCTCGACAAGAATGTCAAGAAATCGATAGTCCTTGTTAGATGGGCAATTAGAAATGATGTGATCGTGAATGTTTGAGCTACGAAATAAGAACAACAGAAACTAATATTGCAGTTTAATTTCAAGTGAACTTTAAAATAAGATCATAATTTATCGAACATAATTATTTAAGGTAAATGAATAGGGTAGACAAAATTTAAAATTTTTGAGAAAAAACGACTTCTTAAAATTTTTGTTAAAAAACCTTAACTTCGTATTGATCAAAAAAACTTGTAAGTGAACAGAGTAACGAGTTTAAAAGTATCTACATCATTTTTATTAAAAACTGAATTAGAAATTGCACTGTTGTCGCTTTGTCAGATGTGTCACGTAAATAAAATTGTACTAATATATTTATGAAGATAGATTACTGAAAAATAGATATATTATAGTGAAACAACATTGTGTATAAACACTAATTTATCAGCGGTTTGCGGTTATAATATGCATCCATTATTCATAACGTTAAACATATTCATATTAACTATTAACCATATAGCTGCTATTAAATGCATACGGTTACTTCGTTAATACCTCGAAATAATATTACATTGTGTGCAATACGTTATAGTTACGACAGAGCTAAGTTAAACATTTTTTTTAATTGAGTTGTACAATTTTAAGTGGATTTTATCTTAACGACGTTTTAACTCGCAATTTAGTTACCAAAGTGATTAATGTTGAAAATGGAATCGCAGGAATGATAGAATCTAATAAAAATCTCATTAAAGTAGATTGATTAAATAATACGCAAATGAGTGGCAATAGTCAGTGGATATCTTACATAGATACAACTCATTTATCATCTCGCAGCACATTCACATTTAATGCTTCAAACTGAGAGACGAAAAGTTAAGAAAAAATCTTTGGCGAAATCAAATCTTAGTTAAGGAAACATCCTCTATAAATTTGAAAAAGTAAGATGAGAGATAGAAGGAGAGAGAGAGAGAGAGAGAGAGGAGAGAATTTAGAGAGCAGTCTCATATTTATTTCGCATTTACGCGAATTCATTAACAGAGTTTACCAACAAAGTTAAGCGCAAATGAGGCAGCCCTTGATCTTATGTTGTGATTTCAGAGTCAAACACATTTTATTTAATCAATGTAAATACGTAAATATATGTATAATGCGTGATGTGTGTATCCGAGAGTGTTTTATTAGCTTTTGTTTCTAATTATTTCTCAAAATTATTCAATTAATTTTCTCAAATCATTGTGTAATTGTACTCCTATCTCTCGCATGTGTAGGAACTTGCGAAAGGAACGAGATAAAAATTCAATTATTGATTTTCCGTATGCTATTAATACAGTTCTCTTCTATTATTGCATTAAATGTAAGAAAACGTAGTTAGTAAATTAAATCATTTCGTATACACTTTGCGAAAGAAGTATTTACGAGATAAAGTTAAAATAAATCGTGATTTTTACTTTTAACACATCCATATATTTCCTGAGAAAATAGCTAGAAATCCTAATAATTTTCCAGTAATTATATTTTTAACTTATTTTTATAATAATTATAAAATACATTAAGATATCAAAATGTAATTGCATATATGCGAAAATTCGGTTAATAGATCCCGAGATATCCTTTTCATACTAGACGTAATTAACGTGGTTACTTTTTGCATCAACGCAACGGTGCGGGTACACGCGGCGAGAAAACTCCCAAATGGAGCAATCCTATCCAGACCTGTGGCCCGTCCGGCATCCGAATGCGGCGCGACACAGTCCGATTTGCGGTTTTTGTGTAACCGACCAAGTAAGAGCTACGGCGTGACGAGCTAACCGTAAGCTCCCGCGCGCGAGCTTAGAGGGGCTATAAGAAAAAGGACCTGAGGGAGTAACGAAGCGTTCTTCGTTCTCTCCTGCCTCCGTTCAACCAGGCGTGCCGCGAGTCATTGACGAGCATCGAGCCATGCCGCTCGTTCGACCGTTAAGTGGTCGATCCCTAGATATATTCGATATCACGAGGCATAGCGCGCCTTTGATACGGTTCAAGGTAATTCTTTCGTATAATCGTTCGCAAAATCACAGAACCCGTTCTCGTTGCGATCTTAACCTTTAACGACTGACTGCGCTAACGTGATTTAACGCTAATCCCTCCCCCCCTTAGCCGGACGAACTGGACTTTTATTTTTGTCAATAAAAAATACAAAAATTGGATTTACTTACATTTAATACGATTCGAAATATTTTAATATCTCTCCTTGTGTATTATTGTGAAAGTATACTTATGAATATTTTAAGTAATTGTTTCGGCGAATATTACGCTTGCTTTTATAAAAAGAAGGTCTGAATAAATCAGTTTTGTACATCTATGTTTATATTAAACAGACATTTAGGTCAGAAATATTACGGCAAATCACTAAGCCAGATAGAGCCGGGGGGAATCGTCCCAACTTAGTCTGGATATTATACTCCGTCTTTTCCAAAACTCCACCGAAATATAATTTAGACCCTTACAGTGATTTTAAGCCGATATCCCTTCCGTTTCGGAACTAAACGTCCTTTCGATTGGACTTTGTTACGAGCACCCATTACGAAATACAGTGAAAAAGATCGCCCGGAGATCACTATTTATTGCCTAGCATTTTCTGAGCGGGTGTTGCAATAAGTACTCGTAACGTTGCGATTGCAATTATTCCAGGAACTTTTACGTCATTCGAGTGGACAATAATGAACAGCGAAACTTGATTGCGCTTTGTAAAGAGAAAGATAGGTCTTTTTAAGTAAAAAGATAAATGCACTGATTTTTTAATTTTTCGATTCGACCATGGCAAATAACACAATAATATCAACCGACTACAATAGTATTAACAATCTCGAATTTAATTAAAATGATAAATCAAATAAGATCTTGTCAAAGTTTACCGCTTTATCGGGTATAACGTGGAATGTTTTTTATTTTTAAATATTTCCGCCGTTAATTGAAAATTAGTCGACTACGTCGACTCTTCAGTAAAAATTGACAAGTATGAAAAATAATATTTCCAGACAGAGAGAAAGAGAACAAATAACAATGAACGAAAAATGCAAGGACCAAAGAATTAACATCATTTACGCATTAATTATGAAAATCCAACATGCTAAGCTTCAAAATGTCAAATACCTATCATAATAGATAACATTATTCTCTTTTTCGATTCCTTCTCTTTAACTTTTTCCGGTCTACCGATTTCAATCGGAAACAACACGTATGATCTTTTGCGAATTTATGTCATCCATTGTGACACTAGAACATTTTTCTCTTTCGGCCCCTCGGCATTAACGATAAAAAAACCACGATACTTTAATAATGTTCAGGCACCATTAATTATACAGTTCTATATTACATAGTAAATTTTATTTCAACTTTTCTATCTGATTTTATTCCCTGCCATCACCATAATTATGCGCCCCAAGGAATCTCTATAGACATATTCCTCTTATATATAAGTTATGTCTAAAGCGTAATAGCAAACTTCTAAAGCTTGCTCCTATAATGCCTTGTTCTACAGAAGTTCTCTTTTATAATACCCATACAAAAGAGCGCGCTTCTTTATAATACATCTAAGAAAACCTTGGCTTCGTTGGGTTGAAAAAGGAAATAAAAAATATTTATTTCACTATTTGTAGGACGGAAAGATTAATGTGAAAATACGAACACATGTAGATTTTATTGGATTAATGGAATATGTTTGAAATGATGAAGGAATAGAATTTTTACATTATAATATTAAAATTAATATAACTAAAATGAGATAATAATTATATTAATTAACTTCTCTGTGGAAATTATGCGAACTTTGTTGATATATGAAATACGCGCGGTTGTTTCATGCAATAGTGTATCATAAATTGGAAATAGAGACTGTCAAGCTCCATTATGACCATTAATATTAATATCCACTATGATTAATATCTACCCGGAAAATTGCATTGCGTGTTTGAAGCTTTGAAACAAAAAATAGATTATGTTCTACCACAATATCCGCACATATGTTTTTTTTTACGTATTTTAAGATTATCGCAACGAATAAATCTTTAAATAAAAGTAAAATTATTAAACTGGCTTTTTGCTACAAGATTATAATGCAATTAAAATCACATTTTAGTTGCATTATAATCTTGTAGCAAAAAACCAATTAATGATTTTATTTAAAATGTGATTTTAATTGCGTGTGCGTAATTAATTTGTCTGAAAATTATACGAAGATGTCGATGCGGAACGGTTGTTTCGTATATGACGATCAATTAATATACTTCATAAATAGGAAATGGAGACAGATAAGCTCGATCGTGGTCATTAGTGTTAATCTGTCTCCGTCATGATTAATGCTTACAGCCGGAAAATTGTATCTCGACGTACGAGCCGCACGCGTACTGCGTCGTTTATTCTACGACCGATCGGGCTTCGGTGCGCACCGCTGAGGAGGTTCTCCAATCCTTATGGCGGAGCGATCACGTATCCGCGAGGGCGGTCATCCTCGTGGGGAACAAGGTCGACCTCGTTCGCAGCCGATTGGTATCAACCGAAGGTAATTTTTTTGTCAGACTAGCTCCGACAATCGGGGTATTTCCCTCTCTTCCCCCAAAGTTACTTACCCAAATCGGACAATTCGCGGAGACACGCGAAAATGGAAATTGCTACGCGTTAGGAACGTGCTCAGGAAACGAGGAGCCTATCTATCATTGAGGTGACATTTAGCGCGAAATGCTGATATAGGGCGATCGTAGATAACGCAACATACGTAAATGTACTGACGTAGCATCTCACTTTGCTCCGATGCAAATTCTCCGAGGGCAGTAGAGCGGGAAAAAGCCATTTAAACCCCCCAGCGAACGCATCGATGCACAGAATACGCTTTCTCTGTACCGTAAACGTGATTAGATTAATAGCGTCTTTTTCACAATTACTCATTTTTTTCTATAATACCGCATTTGTCTATATAGGATATCCCACAATATATCGTATAATATTTTAATTATCTGCAGTTTGCAGATAATTAGAATTACAAATTCTGATAGTGTCGAGATAGCAATGAATTATTTATTTGTAATATTTTTATTAATTCTTATTTTTGATGTATGCGTCTATATGTACCTATATCTATGAATTTTTGTGAATCCACTACCTCGAATTAAAATAAAATTTTATTTGTCACTCACCACAATGCGACGCGCAGCAGCGGAGTTATAATTAACACAAACCACGTTGACCTGTAAAATACAAACATGACCAAATTATAGCATCGCCTAAGATAATCGATATTTCAAAATATAAATGTTACGCGCGTAAAATAATTGTAAACGATAAATTCGGCAAGTAACGAATAATAATAGCAAGTTACTCACCCTTTGGTTGCTCCGCCGGCACCCGATGCCTCCCAGGCCTCCTCTCCTCTTCTTTTGTTTTCTCGTTGTTGCTCCTTCATAGCACTCAAACAACCCTCGTTCCTGGAAGCAATTAATTACGGTCATGCGCGCACTAATCTAGTAATCTCGTCAAAGCAGAATAAACGGTCGTACGACACTCGTACACGACATTCTCGATGTCAATCGCATACGACGCACATTTTACTGCTTCACTACTTTTACTACTTTGCGTTAAAAGAACAAAAGTAGATCGCTATTTAGCCAGGATCCGCGATATTTCTGATATTAAATTAATGAAATGGACGAGCCTGTGTGGAATGTGTGGACAGAGGATTTCAATAAATCGCTAATGTATAATTGCCAAATTTATATTACACGATTGACGAAATGCGTGGTTAATTGCCACAGTGCTTGCTAATTAAACGTGTCGCGCGCGATACCGCCGCCGTTCTGCACTCGCAAGGTTTCGTTAATAACCGAAATTCGGAAATATTGGTAACGTCATTCTGACACCGTGCAATAGGTTACAATTGATAAAGTCGAATTAATGGCTAATTAAGACGCAATGGAAATACATAATCATTCAGTTTTCCGTGATGTGTAATCCGGTTCGAACGTATAAATCACACGAAATAAATATATTATTAATAAACAATGAATATCCCATATGGCTCGCTGTTTACTTGAATTTGACGATTCGCAATTCGAGGAAACGAGCTTATTCTCTTCATGAACAATTAACGATTATTACTCGGCGCTTTTAACCCGAAAATTATGAAAATATTTCGTCGGAAAATCGGCGAAAAATTCCGTTATGCGAGATATGTTCGAGTCGAGGTAATTAAAAAATAATTATTACACGTGTAAATATTATAACGTGATACTTCGAACGCGAGATATCCTTCTTCGCTTTGACATATTGTTTACGAATCATTAAACGGGAAAATTAATTAAATGCTTGCGTACTCGGAATGAGAGCGTTTTCATCTGATACTCATCACGATCGTGTCTCGAGAGATAATGCCGTTACCTTTTCACCGCACACCTGCAAACAATAACAGAGCGACCTCGTGTATAAACAATAATACGCTCCATATAAAAATTGCGCCGTGTGTCAGTCAATTCGTCGCCATCGGGAAATATTTAATAGCATTGTAAAATAAATAGGCAGTGTATATTACGTTTCTTCCATTTCAAGTCAATTGTTAATAAACGATCGATATACGTATCGCTTATATTTTCTGTTACCTCGAATCTCGCTCTTTCCGGCGACTCGTATATTATTCCACACTCTCTCAATTCGACAAGAGAATTACGTTTAAATTGATGAAAAATTCAAAGGGCGTTACGAGATATATTCGAATATATCTCTAATAAAGGGCGTTTTAAATAAAAAATTATCTCACATGAATATCGCGAAACAATAATTCTCATTTGCTATCATCACAAATCCTGCTCGAAATTAATAAACCGCGCGAAATGTCGTCGATGAGTAGTTATCATCTCAACACACTTACGAAATGCTATTCACGAGAATTAGGTGCTTAATCGCATAGATGAAAGATGAGAATCAGGTGCAATCTCTATTCACCCGAGAATCGTTTAGTTAGAGAATAATCACGTTTTGGTACTTATCGCGATTATGTCATATGTCATCGTTCAGAGATAATGACGCGATGATATATGAATATTTTATATTTAGTAAATTGTTAAAAATAATTTGCGGAAGATAATAAATAAAATATTCTGTACTGAAAAAAATTTAACATAAAATTTACTATTTAATTTATCATTGATATTCAAATCATTTATTTTTTATTTATTCAAAAATTGAAAAAGAGTCGAAAAATGACTCCGAATCGTTTTATGTAATTTAAAATTCAGATAAATTATTCGGTCGTATTAGACGTACATTCTATCCCGCATTTTCTAATTACGCGGTATATCGCGTGTCCATTCACGAAAGATTTTTGGGGGGCGCGACACCATCTCAGGTTTAATCGATTTTATCGTTATAGAGGGTAAATCCATGGCGACGTCTTACGATTGCAAATTCATCGAGACATCCGTCGGAATTAATCACAACGTCGACGAGTTGCTGGTCGGCCTTCTCACGCAGATCCGCCTGAAGCTGGAGAATCCCGAGAGGACTAGAGAAATGTTCCGGAAAAGGTCGCGGAAGAACCGCAGCAAGTCGCCGCTGGGCTCGTGCTCGGAGAACAACTCGCCTAAGAAGTATCGCGGCAGTCGGACCAGCACCAGCCTGAAGGTGCGCAATTTGCTCGACAAGGTCTGGGCGCGCGACAGCAAGTCGAAGAGCTGCGAGAATCTGCACGTTCTGTAAAATCCGAGGACCGCGTGAGACGATCGATACCGATCATCTCGATTCAGAATGATCTGGAGCAGCGGAGTCGCAGCTTCCATTGAAACGTCTTACGCTTCAAATACGGGGAGCCGTCTTCAAATACCGAGGGGGTCAATGAGGCGACACTCTCGTCGGAGAAGAGGCCGAGTATCGACCGCTCTACACTCTCAAGAAGAGGAGGCACGTGCGTATCGCTTTGTAATGAAGTAGCGACCTTTCCGGCCGCGTTTCTCGACGTCGTGCGTTGTTAGCTCTCTGTGGACGAGGTTATTTTTTTACATTTCCGACGAAGCACGCACAGCGCCCGATTAATCAATACTACGTAAATCATTTTTTTTTATTTCGCTCACGCAACTTTGACAATTTTAACAGTACGTCCCGATTAGGGGTAAGCTAAATCTTAGCTTATTATTTCCTATTCTATATACTGATATTTTAATTACCTCCTAATTTATGCGCTGTGAAAACTGGATCAGTTAATTTCTTTTACGACCTAATCAAATGTTTTAGAGAGATTGATCGTTGGTGAGACTTTTCATAGCTTCTATAAACTCCGGCCGTAAGTGATAAAATGTTTTTAATCCCGAGGTGAGTGTACAATTTTTGTGATTACCGTAAAACGTAAATATAGGCCACAGAGGATTGGCTTAGCGCCGTATCTTACGAAGAGCGTAGGCGTCGTTAACGCGAAGAATACGTTCGTGAGCCCGAGGAGGTCGTAAAATAAAATGCCTGTGAAGTAAAGTGAAACGCGACACCGAGGGCAGCAATCAGCGTAGATTACTACAGCCGAACTCGTTATCGTACATAACCAAGACCGTTAGGAGAAAGGAAAATCGCATCGATCTTCATCACGTCCGCTCGACCAAAGTTTCATTGTCGCAGCCTAAATGCGAGCGACAAAAAGACGCTCCGTGAGAAGGAAAGGTCTCTGTTCTAACGACGAATAGTTGTAGAGGAGCGTAAATATACGCGCCTATACGTATTATGTACGTCATATTTCTCTGCAGTTTTCTCATAGTGACAAAACGCGCGCGCGCGCGATTACATTTACACCGATGTTTTACATTTCAATTTTGTACGAATTCCATCGAATCGAGAAGCAGGCACCGAAGCACGATCTTCAACTGTGCTTCAGCAAGTGGATGGCTTGTTGACCCTTTTGCGCTCAGCAATTTGGACTAAAATCTCGTATATACCGGATTCCGCGATAGATATAGCAATACAGGCAGAGAGATAGCTTTCCGTTGCGGTTCTTCTAGTATCCGTTAAAGCAGTGACTCTCAAATCTTTTTCAATGATAATACCTTCATTGATAAATTTTACGCGAGAAATTACAATTCAACGTTCGACGAATAATTCAATATATACATGTTGGATGAAAAAATAAAATTTGCATTAAGCAAACCAGGGAAAAAGATAGAGACAAGAGATAGAATGGAAGTTTGAGACCTCGGATGTAATTTTAATTCATTTCTAGAAAAGTAGACACTCTTTGGACTGACTATACGATAATATATGTTAATTCGTTATGATAATCTATTTATATACATATATATATATATATATATATGTATAATTCATGTTTGTATGAAATACATGTAAAATTTCTTAGCCTTTTGGTCGTAGACATTTAATTATACGAATTAAATCTATTTAGTAGCATATTAGAGTTGAAAATATAATAGACATCTTATTCTTGCCACCTCTATTACGCAAAATTATTTCTAAATTATCTTTGAGCGTTGAGATATTTAAGAATTTATGGCATAAGAACCATTAACATAAATTTATGGTTTTAATAATCACTATATTAAAGCAATATGGTAGGATAATTAGTATCATGGTAGTATATCGAAATTTCCGTTCTATTCAAGTCTGTTAAAAACATAATCTTAATAATCATCCTGTTACCATTTATTTTAGTATAATCCTACATTGTATTTATTACAAGCAATTTTATTTAATTTAAAAAGCCGAAGCACCTTCAAGTTTTCTTTATCGCGGTTAACAGCCGACAGCCATTAAAGGAAAATTGAACATATCTATGATTGTCATATTTGGGTCAAAGTAACGAGCATGCGTAAAGTAGAACAAACGCGATTCTAAGCAGAAAAGCAGATCCGGAATGATTTAAAGGGATCGTAATAAATCGTTATTAAAGCGATCCAAGGGATGAGATCAAATGCAACGAATAGCATAAGTCGATGATCCGAGAACTTTTTAGCCTTAATTTCCGACAGTCGCGTATCTTTACGAAGCAGGTATCCGGTTAACGATGAACGGGAATGCCTTGTGTTTACATTAATAACAAACGCGAGCAATTTCCATCATCTGAAAACATTTACTTTGTATAATTGAGCATTATATTCTCATTAGATAAGAAGTTAAATCGTATATCGTCTCTCGGTTCGTTACACGATCAGCCGCGAAATCCGAAAATGCGCAACTGTCGGAGAGTTAAACGAGGTAACATATGCGTCGTGAAATACGCGAGGTCGTGAAAGATAAGTGGGTCGTCTCCCCTCCCTCCCCCCCCCGGCCACCGCGATTTTACCCGTTCCCTGAATTAAAGGGCTCTGATACCAGCGGCGAAACGCAACATAACACGACGCCAGCAGGCGAATCGAATCGTCGCTGCGAAAGGTCGTCCCATACGACAAGCAATTAATTTCCTAACGATCTCGATACCGGCGATCGGTTGACGTCGCAAACTCTCGCAGCGCGGAACGTTAACACCGGAAAAGAATCGACCTACGCTGAATTCGCGTTCGTAAACGAAAAAGATAAAAAAAAAGAGAAAAATCTCTCCGACGGAGGACTTGCCTCGCGAATACGAGTTCCATTCTCGCGCCGAGTATGTACAAATGACAATTTGCATGAATGACGTTGAATTTTGAATCACTGATATAATACACAGATTATGTCTAAAGTTGCACATTTTTTCAGGCTACGGATATTTTGGTGAATTTGGAATTGTTCTTTTCTGAATATCCATGCTTGTATTTCCAATTTATGTCACGTGCAACGTTTTAGCTCTTGCAGTCTTTTGCGCGTCTCGATAAACAAGATGCAAAGTGAAATTTAGATAACGTAATCTCATATTAAATTCATTAATCAGGAATTAGATTCCGTGACTGCTGTTACAGCTGTTACGGTTGTAGGCGTAATAAAAAAAAAAAAAGATTTTGATATTATATCACATCATCACAATAATACTAATGTTCCAGCGCGAATAAAACGGAATGCCGTTCGTTTTTTCAACTTGACTTTTCTACATTTACGGGCGAATATATGTGACGCGTATGCGAGATACGCGAGACACTCTGCTAGATAATATAGGTATTAATTCTTTCCGCATTCCGCGTATAAATCCTCTGACGCGGGCGTCGTGCCTGCCTGTCTCGTTGCCCACTTCAATTAGCTAAATTATACGTAGATGCCCTAAGGTGCGCCCTACAAAGCATCGAGCTGCATGCGTTACACATATAGTTCGCTGCGACATGCAATATTTTTTTCGCGTTGGAATTTTTTCGCAACTGTTCACAACTGTATTATTCATTCCGCAACATTTGATAATCTCGCGACTGCACACTGTGCATACGTGTATATGTCCGTCCGTATTTGGTTCTTTCATTTACAATACGTTACTTTAACTCTTTACTTCCACCTGTGTTTTTCTCTTTGCTTTCTTTTTGAAATTCTCGATTCCGTACAAGCGTACGCATCTACATTCGTGCACAATAAAAAAAAAACTCGAGAATTCTGCCTAAAATAATCCGTGAAAAGCAAACAATTGTGGAAAAATAGAAAGATGTCATTGTTATTGTGGATTTGCTTCATCTCTCAAATTTATTGGAAGATAAATCGAACGATAAACCGTACTAAGTAAAAATAAATAAAAAAGAAATATAGTTTCCATTTTGATTGTCCGTAAGACATAACTCGAATTGTTATTACAAACGATACGGAACAGCGGATTTCTATAGTATCTTTAATTGAATAAACGTGTTACAACTGTCCGTACTTAATTATCTTCTACGAAGTTTCTTTTTTACGTTACAAATATAAAGCAATATAATACGGAACACATTCTTTCAATATATTTCTCTCTCTATACTAGAACTTTTAAATTAATTACGTCGCTGTTCTCCAGCGACGTAATATAATACTGTTTAATATCGCTAATGGTGACATTTCTTTTGCGGTAACTAAATACAGGTACGACCGCTGAAAATTATTATATGCATTTCCGTGTCGCGGAGTTCAGGAGCAACAAACTACTAATTAATGTAACTGGAAACGTATGACAAAGTAAATTGTGTAATTGTGTAAACCAGTGATTTAGCGTTTTAAATAGAAGACTCTAATATTGTTTCGTTTTAATAAAAAAAACAAAAACAAATTATAAACACATTCATGATATAAGCATTATTATCGATTAATTTTTTTCTTTCTTTGCCATTTTTTTTCCAAATAAATATCATTTATTTTAATGTATTATTGAATTTGTTATTGATATTATAATATAATTTATTTTTTATTTAATTTGCAGTATTTGCTAGCTAATGTACTTATTATACTTCGGATATTTAGTCCCGTACACAGTTTTTAATTCTGAAAAATTGATTTCTTTAAAAAATGTTTAAATTCTCTCTCTTTCTCTCTCCTGTTCCTTCTTCTCTCCTCCCTTCTTCCCTCGCTCCGTCTGAAGTAAAAATAAAAATACGGAGTTTTTAGTTACCTTCAGCATCTCATCAAATCGAAAGCTTATTATCATTATTATCAATAAATATAAGTATTTATTCGTGGAAAAGCGAATCGAAGGTGCGTTTGCGGGAAACAGTTGCGAGAAATTCAGACGTTTTGAACTTTTGTTCGAGCCGTCGCGAAGCTGTCGCTTTGGAAAGTAAAGGACTTCTCACAAAAGACTTCCGATGCGATATAAACGATAAAATTGCGTCAAGTCAATGATTGATAATGTATATTTAAGATAACGTGACGTTTCATTGTTGTCGCGTCCAGCACGAAACTTAGACGTTTCTTGTATTCGAAATGTATTATTACGGAAGCAATTTTTACGGAAACGATTGTATTTGACCGTATCCGAGCGAACGCGTAAAAGTCGGTCGCGCTCGATCGACGGCCGAAAAGAAAATCATTGTTCACGTCGCCGTTGCAGCGACAACGGGGAATTCGGGGCCAATTTGTCGATCGTCTTTGTTCTCTCACCGAATGGCAGACGGTCGTTTGTAACTTTTGACACGCGAAACTCGCGAATAACTTTCTTGCTCGTGGTGTTATGTGTATACATAACTTCTGCGGCGTTATTGTGAACCGAATACAAAGCGCGTGTTTCTCCGACGCATATTAAGGAGTCAATATTGGGAGACAGGTTCGCGGGAAAAATAAAATGGTCCAAGTATCACTAATCTAAAACGGAAGAGAACGGAATTTATATATAATTCGGTGCGTATGTTAATAAATGGCAACGCTTCTCTTGACACCACCCGTTTGAGAATATTGTAAAAGTATGTGGTTTTTATAGACATGTCTTCCATCGATTATCAGTCAAAATGTACTGACGAACATGCTACGCCGTAGTGCAGAAACGCAAACAGTTATACGGCGATAATATCGGAAGAAACTAGTCGGATAATGATAAAAGTTGTAGCCAATGACGCGGTTAAAAGGATTGCCCTCTTGTTAAAAGGTGTTCGCGAACTTTCGGCGATGGGGCGTGATAGCGCACTATCGCGCCCCGGCTTCTCGGCAATTTAACGGCCACGGTAATGCTGTACACCAAGGCGGGTTAATAATTTAATACGAGCGCGTTATCTCGCGTGACTCGCTCACAGTTCATAATAGCGTAATATATTGCTGCTCGTAATATCGCACTCGGGTCCTCCTCGAGAATCGTCGTAGTAGCGAAGGAATCGATAGCACGCTTATATTCGTTTTCTATCGACGCGACGGCCCATTGTTCGCGACACCGAAGCGAATTCGAGTGGCGATCGATGGCTTCGTATCATCATCAGGCGCACGAAATACGTCGGTTTCCCATATCGTCTTTCGTCTAGTTAGTCACGGAGGTCAGCTTTGTTTCGATAATGGAATCTTTTTAGCTTGTAATCGTTATCGTAATTGTATGCTATAAATTGCGTGTAATCGTTATCGCAATTTCTTGGAGGCTCATTCCGACGGAATCATTAGTGAGCGTTTACTGTTGCGTTGTGCAACGTCGTTTGATGCCTATTTTCTTTCTCCGATAATACATTTTTTGTTGGCAACAAAAAAACGCAAATAACGCCATTGAAAAAATATTTATCGCGAGTGTTAGTAGAACAAGTAAAAATATCCTGTAAAAATATATTTCAAACGCAGGAGGCCGTTAAAAATATGGACCAAAATACAAATTGAGCAATTTGATGCGGAAATAAAGGAATATTATTTTGTATTTTGGAAGCCAAATATGTATTTATGTCAAATGCACGCACTTGAAATATTACATTGCTCTGAGTATGCGCGAAATGTGTTTTGTATATTATTATGGCTATAAAAGACTGTACGGGGTAAATCTTTTAAACTTTGCTCGTTCGCATTTTACGCTTCATATTCCTCTTGCCTCCCTCGTTTAAAAAATGCAAATACGAGGATTTCACACTCCGACCGACGTTGCACGTTGCTTGTTCAATCGCACGCTGACCTTAATCCCTTAACGTCAGTATCCTTTCGCCGAGACGTATAGAAGTGAACGACGAATAAAACGCTTGTTAGCCATACCATAACAGGAATGAAATGACAAGAACCTCTTACGAATGCTGGTTTTGAATTGGAGCGTTATAAGAAGCGATACAAAACTGACATTAATTCATTTCTTTCCGTGGTGTATTCCGATAGAATTCTAATTGACCGAAGGACTTACAGCTAATTCAAACGTATGCCCTTGCAAGATTGATATGCAAGTCGCAAGTTATGCACGCGCGAAAAATTCGCGATAGCGCTTTATTTCGCATCTGGCACGATTTCTTTTTAATTCCTTTCGATTACGGATGAAATCTCGCGTTTCTCGATCTCCACAGAATCAAGCGTCAACGTACCAGCGGCGATTCTTGATTTAACGTCTCGATAAATTTCAATTTGTAGCCGAATGACCTCTACGTTTACGCGACGACGAAAGTGCCGACAAACGCGATGCGAGATACATTTTGCCACGGGTGTGCAGCACGGCGAAACTAAACTACCCGTCGAAGTAACACCGGTTTCAATTTCCGCGACGTATTTATATGCTTACGTGTAGCGTGCGTACAAATTACGATTGATACACGATAGCTCGTTAGCAAACTCCGATTGTCGATTTAGATTTAGGGCATACGTATACACTTCTCTCTCTCCCCCCTCTCTCTCTCTCTCTCTTTCTCTCTCTCTCTATCTATCTATCTATCTATCTATCTATCTATCTATCTATCTATCTATCTCTCCATATCTCTAGCTTTCTCACTCTCCCTCTCTCAGAGCAGCGAAGAGAGAAGAACCGCGGCACATTGCCCGTAACTATTGATTGCCGTTTGCTATTGGGATATTGTCGCTTTGTATTAGGAGACGGTGAGTGGATCAAGTAGCATGTATACCTTATTAATTCGAAGCCCCGCGCTCAGGAAAGGCGCACGCGATATTTATTTTTATAATGCTATATACGTATACATACATACATACATACATATATATATATATATATATACATACATACATACACACATACACACTTTCTTCATACGCTACGTCGCGTTATCTTGATGTCTGTTCGCGTTTATTTACGTCAGTTGCTTTATATTCCATTCGCATAGCCGAGTCTATGCGCGTAACTCGCGATTTATCGTGCTTTTTCATGACAGACGAACGATAAATAGCGATCTCCAGCCTGAGAAAACGAAAGTACGAAAGTACGAAAGAAAGTTTTCCTCGGCTTGAGAATAGCTCGCGTTCGCCGCTATTTGCATTTAAAATTACTCGATCAAGTTGGAAGTACATGCGATTATACGCAAAGCGTTTTGTTCGCGACTTGCATGAATTTCTATTTTTATTTATCTTCTTTCTGCGTAGCTTGTTTATGTGATAACTGCGAGGCAAATGCAGCGAGGATTCGTGATTCGTTAAGGCCATTGCACGTAACAAAGTTTTAGTCATAATCGTAAGGCCATAAGAAAATAGACCAACCACACTCGATTTATTCTTCGAGCTCAAGGAGAATAATCGACTGTGCGTGGTCTATTTTCTTACGGCCTTACGGTTATGACTAAAACTTTGTTACGTGCAATGGCCTTTACGATACACATATGTCCACGAAAGGAATAACGCGATAAGAATTTGAATTCTTTGACGCTTAGAACGATCAACGGATAAATCAATTTCAACATTCTTAAATCGTCGCAATACGATATAACGGAATTTCTATGGCTACGAAGTCAATCAATGTGGAGCGAGATAACTCGAAAAGCGTTGGGGAAGACTTGTCGGAATAGATTTCAAAGCACGGATTTGCGGTATTTCGCATAGCATCCGCGATTGCACATGGGGATCAAAGCATCGGTACGTGTTGTCCCGCCAGACGAAACTATCGACAACTTGCGATCAGAAATGCCAGTCGCAATTAATGTCATACTAGATTACTAATTAGTGTCGGCATTACTTAAGGTAGCTTCGAATGACGACCGTTTTTGCCGCCGAACTCATACATTTATACTAAAAGCATATGTTGTTTAAACGAGACACGAATGACGGGGTACTTGGAAATTGTCAAAGGCAATCTTGTGGCTATTCAACGTTTGTTAATGTTCGCGTTGTTGCAGAGAATATGTGAAGCAATAATAATATAACGTTCGAATTTGCGGGACGGTGTTTCGTTGATTAAACGGGGAAAAAGGAAAAAGGGATCGGGGTGATAAAGGAGATAATTAAAGAGCATATATGAGAGAAGTGCCGAAACGATTTAACAAGTAAAATTCGGTGAATGCGTATCGCTTGACTCTGACTCTATCAATGGCGATTAATCTATCGTGATATTAAGTATGAGTGCTTCGGAATGAAACGTGGATTGCGTATACCTGCGTATTACTGAATATGTGATTTCGACAGTTAATCCTTCTCAATACGACTATGTGAGAAAAAATTTTTAAATGATGCAAATTTTGTTTTTTAATTAGTTTACGATAAGCTAAACATATGTGTATTCGCACAGCGAGAGCGAGGAGTTAAGAATTTTCTAAAATAATTTCCGACTTGTGCGCATTGAAGAACACCTTATATTAAAATAGGTGCTAAGGAGTCCTTGAACACATGTTTTTTTCCGATACTTTTGGATTAAAGGAGATGGAACAATCCTCTGTTTAAAAAAACCGCCGAAGAAAATAATATCACTTTTGTGAGAAAATGCGCAATTGTGAGAGCTTTATGCGCCGATTTTTGCGCGGGGCTTTATAAGTACATGCATAAATAGAGCACGTACTAAACAAATTAAGCGATTAATCGATTAACATGTCCAAAATGATTACGACTGATTGTTAAGCGTCTACCTTGGGCACTCGCTGGGATTTAAGATGGTCGACTTCACCGCCGTAATTGCTAAAAAAAAAACGTTTCCCCGCATGATCGTTGTCGTTAAATGACCGGTAATAATCGTTATGTATAATAATTTCGAAATCAGTGATGCATCATCGCGATATTCGTCGTGTCAACATGCCCGCATGCGTGTAACGTCAATCTTTGTTTTATCACTATCGCGCGAGATGCACGATAAAATATGTCGAGGAAATAGCACTAACGGTATTTTCATGATGAAAAACCGGCCTGAATCACTCCGAGAAAACAATCAACGGGCTTAAAAAAAAAAAGTGGAAAAACAGCGAGTACGTATACGAGAGTTTGCAAACTAGATAAATATAAAATTACTGAATCTACATTCAACTCCGATAGAATTCAAAAGTTAAATATGAAATATAACGAAGCAAATAGCTTTTTTTGCCATGTTATTATCAGCTCTTTTTACTACATTATTTTATTAAACATAAAGTCATTGGATTTAATGAGAACAAAATATGGATTCTTCGTAAAATAACATTTTTTATCTGTTTAGATTTATAGATGTATATATTTAATTATACAAAATTATTTAATTATTCTATACTTTTCCCTTTGTATATTTTGTATTAGCGCAGAGACGAAAATGGCCGCAAAGTTCACGGGACCCAAACCCGTGTATTTTCTTTCGTCTAAATCGGAGTCCGTCTTTGGAAACCCGTATCGATTCAGTACCCGTACCGTTTCAATTGAATACGTTGAACAACAACGTTGAACAATGGACATGTAGAATGTACGTATCAAAATGTGCCATCTCGAAAAGTAATTTTCAATCAGTATTCTGCAAATTCAAATGGAGATTTAATCACCAGGGAGCGTAATGGAAATTTTATAAGAGATGCGATTGCCTTGTGAATTATAAATAAGAAACAGCACTTAAGCTCGTAAAGAACGCTCGCCCGTAGGGGATACAAATATCGGGTGGTTTCATCGCCACCAACCCTCGTTTCTTCACCGCTCGTTATCCTCCAGTCATAAATAATGACGCCACTTATGTGTTTTAACCCTTTTTGTTCCTAATATCACTTTTTTGAAGCCAACATGTAGCAAAATCATTAAAATTTTCTCATTAAAGTTTCCTTGTTTCAAGAGTTCCATAATATCTAATTTTTATAAATTCGTCTATATAATTCTATATAATTTAAATATAAAATCTATAATTTTTGTAAATTTATTTTACACATAAACACAATAAGAGAGAGAATTTTAGTGAATAGATCAGCTTTAAGGTAAGAGCAATGCTGAAGCAATCGATAAAATAGCTAAAAGAATTGATATTCTGTACTATATATATTTCCAACTAAAATACAACAAACAAGATAAGAAATAAAAATAAAAATTCGGAAGTTTGCGAGAATTCTATTATAAAATGTCACGGTTTGTTCCTCTATTTGTTATTCCATTTTTAAATTACAGATTTTGTTGAAATTACTTGAATTTAAAATATGTCATCAAAAACAACGTTAAGAGATTACAAAAGATTTTATATATTTGCATACTATAAATAAAAGGAGAAAGGTTTTTTATTCTAATTAAGCGTGAAAGACATGATGTCAAGATAATCAATATTGCTAATGTCATTGCAATTAATGGGTGAGCGCATGTGTGAAATAATTTCAGTATTGGCAATAGACGTTTAGGAGATAACGATGCGTTTGGGAAACGAGGCAGACCTGACGAGGTAATTGCAAATGACGATTTTCCGTCCATCTAGCGCACGATTTTAACGAGGACGATCGCAACGCGGACGATCACGTTCCAGCGAAATTGTGCACGAGCATCGTGTATGCTCGATACAGTCGATACATCCCTTTTATCGACTCCCACCAGAGGATATCCCGGCAAAGTGCCGCGCATCGAGAGGTACGACGATAAAAAAAAACACACACAATTGCCATACGATGGCCCTTGCATCTCGACGTCATTCCGGGCGCTTTTTTATTTCGGACAATAATTACTTAACTTATTGTTAGAGATAATGATATTTTATCGATCGAGCGCAAATATCCCTCCGGTCTCCTTTTCTGATTTTCTTTGTGATTTTGCAGAAAATGAATTATTTAATTATGTAAATCTAAAATAACTCTTCTAATCCTTGCAAAAACTGTCGAGTGTTTTATTGTGTGACTTAATAATACATACCACGAATGATATTGTCAAATAAGTACCTTTGAAGGAAATATAATAACCACTCGATAATTTTAATGCAGTAAAAAATTCCAGAATATAAAAAGTTCTCTTCAATATATAATAAGATGATTTGACTTATATAGACTGCAACTCTATTATATATTTTATAATATCTCATAGTTATTTTTACTTTTGTTATTTAAATTATTTCATGATTTAAATTTTATAAAAGACATTAAGATTGCGGTAATTTGAAAAATTAAATAGATCGCAATGCACTGATCTGCGATTGCATTAATTATTGATTGATATATTTTGGTACATTTGAAATTTTGGTATGTACAGCCGAATACTTTTCCGTGTTTATGTACATTTTGCGCTTCATCAATTAATATCAATCGCAAAATTTTCAGCCACGAACCGTATTTTGCGGTACGCCATGTAAACTCTCATTAATCTGGATGATAATAAAGAACTACCCGTTGTGTGTGCATAATCGTATTAGGATAAATAACTGTAATTATCCGTAATGAATGAAAATATCAATAGATGTTTTAATCGTACATGTACAATTATTTGCAATTGCCGGTAAGCAACGTATAATTAACGTCGCTTTCGTTCTCGCGTGACATACATATATAATCGGCAAGAATTTTCGTCGATATAGAAATTTGCGCGATCGCGTTTCCGCCAGAGTCCGAGATAAAATCGCAGCCGGCAGAGAACGATTGAAGACGCAAGGGTCTCGCGCGCGTGCGCACGAATTATCTATAACATAGATTTAGGTTTAGGAAACGCTGATTGCCAGGTACGCCGTATGCTAATACAGGACACGACAGAATGAGGCGGTATTCGCGCGTACCGGCGCGCGGCGCACTGACGAATATATTGCGGACCATAGCCTAGCGATTAGGCGATTTCACAAATCGATGTTATATATCTGTACCTGTACCGTGTAAGAGGTATAAAAAAGAAAAGGAAAAAAAGATGAAAAAAAAGAGTAACGCGACATCGGCCGCCGGGGTACGGCCGAAAATTTTCTTGTCTCTTTCCATGTAATGTAATCGTACTTGTACCAATTGTCCCGACACCACATAGTGATTTAAATATAGCGATTAACTAATGTAATACACCGATCAAATGGGAATACGACGTATTCCGTTATTTTTCTCTTAAGGCAACGGTTTTCAAAGCTCCAGCGCCATTCCTTATTACACATATATACACACATACACATCACGCAAAGAAAAACGTTCGTGAATTTTCTAACGGATTTTCCATGAATTTTTCCACAAGAAGGAATTCCATTCCCTCTTTTCGTAAAATAATTTATGCAAATATTTGCCATAGTACTTATTCCATTCGACCAAACATGGCGATCGTTGCTCGAGAATTACCTGGCTTTTGCCGGCACGGTATAGCGAAATGCCGGGCTTTGGAAAACGCTGTCTTAAGACGGCTCTTAGGCGTGCGACTTATACAAGGGACTATATTCCGTTCCAGAAAGTTTTCGGGATCGATAAAGTACCATCGACGTGCCGTCCCGTCCTTCTCGTGATTCACTTTTGGGAACGATTCGTGGACATATTGCCTTGTCGTAATTAATGATAAGTGCGTGAGAAAACATTTCGAGCGATATAAAGCGAATTATAAGAACGCCGAACCTCCCGACCAAGTTATATGATATCGTGCGAATAAACGTCGTGGGAAATTGCGAGCGCGAATTAATAGATGTTCAAGCAACACGAAATACCCCGTTTAATGTTCAACGTTTAACACGCAGTGTATAATTAATATATGTAATTATATAAAAGAAATTTTCATGGAGAAAATCAAAAGTAGTAAGTAACACACACACGTGATAAATATAAAGAAGGACAGTTTTGTTAAAGTTATCAAATTTTACAAGAAATATTGTTATATCCAAAAATATTATATACTCCCATATATTACGTTAAAACACTTTAATCTGTTTTTTTCTCTTCTTCACGGAAAGCTGATACTTATAATATATTTTTTATCAAACCAATTCTAAGCTTTACTTACAAAAAAGTGCTTCTCCCAACTAAGAGAAATTTTATGTACGTGTTAAAAGCTACATTTATCATTCTCGTTAAAATTTCTATTAACATAAGAAACCTTTTAGCTGTTGGAATTTACAGCAATTATTCCTCTTGCGTTAAAATTTCCGTTTTTTTTTTTTTTTTACAAACCTTCTGTTTTGCCATGCGTACGCCACGTGCGTTTTAGGTATAAACGTTTCTATACAACTTACCGTAATTTCATCTCGTATGTATCCGGTCGAAATGTCCACGAATCGTCGACGCATCCGGAAGCTCCGTTGCGACCAGTCGTCCTTTTTCCGTCACTGACGTCGAAACGACGGATCGAATTTGAAACCTGCAAAGAACGCACGTGCTTAGAAAACTGCATAAAGGGACGATTGTTCGTTCGACGACAGAAACAGAGAGAAAAAAAAATGGGGACGAGAAAATGATTCCGACGGGTGCTCCGCTATTGCGAATATTTGAGAGGAAAATGCGAAAAAAAAAGTTCAATTTTTGGACACCAAGTGGAGAACGTCCACGTGATTCCATTGGCGAGGAATAATAATTCGACGTGTTAGTTTCTTACGATGTTTTTATCCCGTGTATTAGATCTTTATATATACATATATAGACATATACACATACATATATATATACACACACACATACACACACAGAAACGCAAAGTACATACACGAGCTACGTCTCCCGTATAGCGTGTAACGTGACGTATTTATGTGAATTTTGTCATTTTACTAAGAACGAATGTATTTGCCGTATAATTAAAGAGGAAGAGAAAACCCAAATTATTATAATGCCGCATAATATATATTATATATATATATACATCTAGTTCCCGCGCATGGCGTTTTATTTCACGAGATACCAAACTTTTTCAGATTATCACGACCCAGTAAAGAATGTAACTGTAAAGTATAATCAATAAAGAATTTTTGCCTAATAATCCGAGAGCGTTCCGTGCACCCGCGGTGCTGGTTACAGTATATCGATCTTTTTCCGGCTCCTCGATAGCCTATCTCCGACACCTTAACTTTCCTTACAGCAAAAGCGCTTACAAGAAGTGCATTTCGTTTTTATTGATTTCTTTTCAACATTAAACTATAGAACAGATTATAGCAGAACTTAATTAGACCACGTAGAATAATTTATGGGGATCAATTATTATTCCTATTCTTATTAATCTTACTCTATATAGGGAAATCTTTTGAAATATGTATATGCTCAAACGGTGCGGATAAATTTTACGTTCATTCTCAGTGAAAGGTAATACGATTCTTTTAAATATTTTATTACAAAATCAAAGTGATGAAAAGTTTTTCTACGAGGGTTAAGAACCAGAAGTAACATCGATCTAACAGGTCAGATTTAATGTACAGAAAAAAATATTCTTAATTTGAAAATATCTTATTATTCCTATTCTTAAAATGAGATTACATTGCGTTAAACGCAACATATAAAGAAAAGTTTGCTTGAATAAATTTAAGTCATTGTATATAGTTTAATCAAGAAAAAGAGTTGAAATAAAAAATCGAAATTCTTATAAGAAGATTATAGATTGTTGCATGTTCAAGTTTTAATTTGATACGTCTTTTTTTCTGTGCGCATCAACTCAGGTTCAGTCATATACGAAAAAAAAAACAAATTTTTTATATGATTCCAATTATAATAATTACAAGAAATATCATTTAATTGACGTAATATGAGAAAAAAGGAAAATATATATTGAGATTCGTGCTTCCAGATGTGAAGATAAGCAAGAGAATTACTCACGTAAGGATTTAATGGGATTAATTTTTCTCATCATTTCATTTTGATACCGCTTGTTATTAGGGTTTTTGCAATACCGTCTTTCAGATACGGTAAACGTATTTGAATTATATTATAGAAGATACGTTCACCGTCTAAATTCACATTATCGGTCGAAGGGCGAAACTGCGCATGCACATCGTTCACCGTAACGCTATTCGGATAACGTCCGACGTTATTTTTGAAAGAACAAGGTTTAGGGCCAAGGCACATAACATTGCGTATAGCGACTAGCGATATACGACGGTAACGCACAAGCTTTGGCGTGTATTCTGACTGTCAGAATACGCCAAAGCTTGTGCGTTACTTACGTCCACGACTACGATTCGACTGTCGTATATCGCTACGCAAATATTATATATGCTTTGGCTCTTTTGCGATTACCGTCGACGCCATGATTACCATAACGAAATCCCTAATGTGAATTTAGACGGTGAACGTATCTATATATAATTCAGATATATACATTTACCATATTCGCAATACTGAGACGGTATATTGCAAAAACTCTCTATTATTAATCAAGTAAACCTCATCAACGTCGATTCGGAAATGTTGTACTTTCGGTAGCAGGCAAATAACATAGCAACGCAGAGGGAATTATGAAACGATGCCGTATATATACGTACCTAACAGCGATCGCGTGCCATTTCGTGCCGGCAGGACGACTCGGGAATTTCAAGACACGATCCTCTCGCGAGGACGATTTCCCGAGCCGGAATGGAAATCGCGATATCGGACGTGCAATGGCAATTGCACTCGCGTTTTACGACGAACGACTTGTCGCGCGCGGGACTCGCTTTTATGCGAGAAAAATCGCGAGAAAAACGCGCCGGCCAACGGCTCGGCTGCCACCACTCCGCCATTTGTCTCGCGACTATGACCGCGGACACCGCGGTGTCCGCGGTTCAAAAATCTATCGAACCCGCGTCGACGCGATTCTCGAAGGCCTCGAAGCGTCAAAATGGCGGAAGCAACAAGCGCTGACAAGTAGTGAATTATGAAAAGAGTATAAAATTTTTTATGTCTTTATGAATATTGGGAATAGTCGATGTAGCGATCGATCGGTCGCGATTATCCATTTTTTTTTTTAAATCGGTTCTCTCATTAAAGATAATATCCATTAAATTAAGGCTGCGGTTCACTTGACGCCGCGCTACAAATGCTTCGAAGCATTCCTCTTCTCTTTCCTTTCAATGAAGAAAGAAGGAGAAGAAGAACGCTCCAAAGCATTTGTAGCATCAAGTGGACCGCAGCCTTTAAACTATCGACATAATATCGCGGTTACTTTATCCCGATCCTGAATATATTCGCCCGCGTTGATAGATCGAGCGTTCGGAACCACGCGGGACGACAATACAAGATAATACGGGAAACGACGGGCAGAGACGGCAGGTTCGATTTTCAATCGATGCGAACGACGTGTTTATTTTACGCACTTTTATCTCTGATTTTTTAATTCGTGAAAAGGAGCACAGAGCGCGCCGAGAATTTTTGCTCCGATGAATCGCAAGTAATCGAAGGTTTCGTTGCAGACGGTCGGCAGGTGGCAGCATCTGCCGCGTGACGGGCAACGCGTCAACAAGCGATATGTTACAAATAAAGAATACAGATATATAGGTGATACACATAAATTTTCCTTCTCGTGACCGAGCGTGCGAGCACACGCCGTTCTTCGTTGCGCGTGGAATCCAAATCTCTCCCCCTCATGTAAATCGCGTTTTATTCCCCAAACGATGTACTGCTGCTCGTAACGGTAACGAATGCTGCTCGCCCGAGCGGAAGGTGGTGGTGGTGGTGGTGGCGGTTCGCGCTCCGCGCTTCCCCCGATCGATTCGCGAATGTTAACCTGCGAAACGCTAACTTCCAGATGCTCTGCGTAAAACACAGCAGGAGGCACGGCGTCTCGTTGCTGTTCAATCTCATCCCGAGGGCTCTCTATTCGCGTCGCAGCGACAGGAGCACGAGTTCCTACAAGATCGCCAAGTCCAATGGCGACACCCTGGACGGTGAGTAACCTCGCCGACCTTCGTCGTGTTATCGGTGAAAAAGCGCGACATCACGGAGCCGCGAGCTCTACGGGAATTCTGTACTTTTGTTCGATTTATCCTTAAAAATCGCCTGCGTCAATCGAATCGATTTTAACTCATAATTGTCTCAAACTAGAAAAGCTGTATCAATTCTTGTACCAATTCTGTAAAGTTGATTTTAATTATGATTAGATATGCATTTTAGGAAAGAAAATTAAAAAACACTGGGTTTATTTGTACGTGACAATTGTCAAGCGATGCAATAAATATCTAGCTTAATTTATTGGATCATAACCTCTCGCTGTCATTACTTGTTGTTGTAGAGTTTGTTCTTCGTAGGTTAACTCTGTTCTTTTCATCTTTACTCTTTTTTCTGCCCAACATCTCTAATTATACGCCTATTTCTTTTGAAATGTAAAAAGTGTAACAGTAGCTGCAAAAGACAGGCTTATAAATAGGTCTTACACCTACTGCAAAACCTTTAAAAGCGCTTTGATTAAATTTTTAATTTTATACAAGCCATCGAAAGTACGTTTCTTAAGTTACGTTTATTATTTATTGAATATGTTGTAAAAAAGCAGATATTGACAACAGCGTTTTGGGGGTCAACTCCAACTGGGAGTTGTTAACGCCAAGAGGCTTTAGATTCTATCTTCCTGGGAGCGTAGGACCCGCTTGGTTAGATTCCACAACCACTGCCCAAGTTAAGACTCAAATCGTCAAGTTGTACGACGATGAGGAGTTTATGGAACCGTTGAACAATAAAGATAGGTATCAAAATGATGTAGAAAATTGGAGAGCCATACGGCCGACGTTGGACTGCGTGGCACAGGAATGTCCTATTCTTCTGCGAAAAAGCATAGAGGAACTATTCCCGGGATGCTTAGACGTGACTATGTCACACCTCACTATTATAACTATTAGTCAGAAGGCAAATATCAAGTCGATGAAATGGCGTAAAGAAGCGGAAACAGAGAAACTTGCCAAATATGTAAGTTATTGTAACATGACTTGTTTGCAACCCTAAACGTATAGTAAATATGTATCATAAATCTAAATATATATACTCGGAGGAAACATATTTTAACATTTTTACATTATTAGATCATTAGTTTGTTCTAGCAGCCTCCGACATATGTACAAAGCTCAAAATGATCGGTTACTGGGCAGACTTTATTAATCCCTTTAGTGGACAACCCTACTTAAGTCCACGGAAGGGCGCCAATCTATATGAGACCGACGAACGATTTCGCTGCGTAGGATTTAAAGTACAACAGAGAAATAATTGCAGAATTATTGTGTCTGATAATAGTCTACAAAATTTTATTGGTGCGTATACGACTGTGCATGACCATACGTAATGTGTACGCGATTGATAACAATCTACGACAATCAAGATACGAATATCTGTTTATACGAAGACATTTATAATATCTGATTTATACATTGCGGCGTTTCTTCTCAATTTCAGGAAGTCTTTACACTACAGCGCCAGCAAGCACAGAGTTTTTAAAACAAATAATAAACGTTGATAACGAGGATCAATAAATATGTGTATATACAAGGAAGAGTGTGTAGTTCACTTATATGACAATTATAAACAGTTTTCTATTATTGAAGTTTTAAAAAGTCTCTGGTCGCATTTGTGACCAATTGAGGTGTTTGATTATAAGGCGAACGTGACTCGCCAAATTTGACTTCGTATTACGATGACTATATATTGATACATCCTCAATAAAATGCCGACGGAGTGCGCTTTATGTCTTCTAAGTCTCATAAACTAACAAATGTTTATCTAGTGAAGAAAAGTCAATATACATTACGTTGTTATTAAATAAATTATAGATTTCAGACCTCTTATCTGGAGAATACCCTTTCTTGACAGTCATAGATAAAATATTTTTTTATTTAGGCAATATTGGTATAAAAAGACAAAAATGCTTATAAAACTGTTATTCTTATCACATATCGTTATTCTCCCTTCAAGTTAATAAACATCAAACATAAAAAATATATTCAAGCTTGCGTATTCATCACAAATTCGGCACAAGTGTGATCTATCTTCCGCAAACATCATCAATCTACATGTTAGAAAAAAAAATCAAAATTACATAGTCACATTTTGCATGTTAAACACGCGAGATTACGCAAAAGCGATTCAAGCAGCAATTCACAACACGATTATCGTTATATAAAGTAAATTATTATTATATAAACTAAACATATCTAGATAATTATTATATGTAATTACGCTTTATGAATTCACGGGAAAATCTTTTATAAAGCTGCAGAGTTCCGTCATTCACTGAACATGACAATACAGATTTTCCCCGCAATTCGAAAATAGAGCGTTCCTATGAAATCTTTTGTAAGCTGAAATGGCATAAAAAATAATTGTCGTTAATTTATAAGGTAAACTTTTTTTGTAAAAGAAAGTTCTCTTTGGATTTCTTTTGGTTGGCGAAAACGGATACTGATGTAGGTCTTTCGTAAAAACGAAGTTGCGTAAAGCAAACTTTCAAGAAGCGGGGGATACCTATAGTATAACACACGTAACAAATGTTATGTAACAAACATTTATGAGTTACTAATTTCACATTCAACTCTTTATATATTTTCCTAACAACTTTGTCTTCTACTTCGAATATATAAAACTTGTTCATTATAACGACGGGTTCGCGAATGCGTATTTCGTAACACGTCTTATCGCAAAGGCAAGCAACGCTAAAAAGTTCACTTTAGACGATCTCTACAATCCTGTTATTAAAATTGAGAAAACCTGAAGAATCAGAACACACCTATGCAGGATAAGCAATTTTACATGCAAACGCGTTAAATTTCCATTTTGAATCTGACGTAAATTATAGATCGTTTAAAGTATGCTTAAAAGCGTGTCAAGCCACAATTTATCTTAAAGTATTCAAGGTAATGACATATAGATCATAGGTAACTTGATACCACCGGCGGAACGAGCATCAACTCGTATGCGTTACATCAGAATCCTAACTTTACAGAGAAAACTTATGTACAAAATAACGAGTACTATTCACACACTTCGAGGTATTATTATATATCAATATCAAAGTAAATTCTTTTGTTTCGTATACCGGCCTGATTGTACCACAACATTACTTAATGTTATCCTTAATTAATTGAATTGATTTTTTTCAATGGTTTATACTACAAACAGAATCTAGAGAGAAACAGCTAGGAATAACTAGTCAAAATCAATTAACTAAGATTGTTTATGCGTTTATAAATCGCTCACACATTGCGTTTAACGTGCTCACGATTTTTATGTTACAATAATATATTTCTTTTTGGTAAAACAATTGTTAATACGACGTGTAATTACATAATACAGAAATAACTGTTTAATTGAGGTGCTAGCAGTGTAAGATTGTAAGATCATAGTAGAGATAGATTGCTCTTAGTCGACCTCTAACTTTCGGAACGAACCGGATATTCCGCCAAATTCTTCATTAGCTTCCTGATATTCTTTCGGTGATATTTCAATGTACATGTCGTCGAGGGCCTTGAGCTCATCTTTCTTCTTTTTCAGCTCTTTTTTAAATTCGTCTGAAAAGAGAGATAACGCGTTAAAGGAACGAAACAATTTAAACCTACTCGAGAACGTGAAAGGAAGATCCTCGTACCGATCATTTCCGAGAGCGGAACTTCCCCGCCGTATTCCTTTGGCAGTATCTTCGGATCCACCACTGCATGTAGTTCCTCTATATTTCGGTGTATCTACCAACATCACGAACGATTTGTCGGACATGCAAATTTACATGCAGCCGTATTTATCATAACGAAATTTGCCACGTGGCGATATATTTACCAAGACGCGGGACCTAAGTTTGTCGTTCAGTAGAGAGACCCCGAATTCGAGGATCTTCGCCACGCTGCTGGGAATATTGATGAGATGCGTCTCCTTGTGACGTGCTGGCATGCTGTTCTGTATGCACCTCACCACATTGCGAATGTCCGTGAAGGACCACGTGCTGAAATGGTTCATGGTCAATCCCGCCTCATCATTGAGATACGTGTAGCCGTAGACCTGACTTTTCTCATCGTCCATCAAGGCCTCTACCAATATGCTGTGGACCCGGGCCATGTGCGCCGATGTGTATTTGCTAGGGTCGAAACGCCCTTAAAACCGGAAGAGATAAAGTAGAGTGAATATACATATAATATGCATGGAGACTAATTACTTGAAACTAAGGAGCAGAAATAGTGGGCCATAATAATATCGAGCACCAATAATTAAGAATTTTGTGGCAGAGCCGAGTGGTTTACAATACAATGAATTAAATACTAGCGATTGGAAACGTGAAAATAAACTACTGTGTTCACATCAACGATGAATATCGTAGACAAATGCTACCTAAAGACTTTGCTAAATGTAGAAAAGAATGATTATCTCTGTTTAGCGTGTACGAGAGACAGTTTAATCGAACGTCGTTTTTAATCACGTCTTAAATTAATCTTCATTTTTTATACTCTTGGGATTGTTATACCTGCACACGACATTAACACTTTTCGACCGTGCTGATCTCGCTTCAGCATTGGTACCAAATAGCCATCATCGATGATAGCCGCGATTTCTGGGTCATCGATGTCGAGCTTCTGGAACCAGTGAGAATAGAGTTGCCTAATGGTGAGATAACGTTCCAGCATCTCTTGCGCCAGCGGCAGGCTGAACTTCTTCGTCCTGAGAAATCTCAGCAGGAACAACGAGTCGGTCCTGCACCTCTTGATCGCGGGATGTTTCTCGATCCAATGGCGAAATTGCTCCAGCGCCTGTTCCCTCGTGTTGTCATCCTCGCGTAACTCCAGCCTGGCCGTTTCCAACGCGTTTGCATCCAGAGTAGTCTTATACTCGTCATATTTCTTCTGCTGTCCTTCTGTCACCATCGTCTGAAAAATAATTGGAATTAGAACTTGATAACCCAACTGGATGGCTCTCACGTCTCGACTGAATAACATTATCCCGGCACTCTCTACATCTCGAAAAGTAGCATGTATATATTTTAATTCACGAATATGTATAATAAATCGATCGAGCTAGTTGATTAAATCGAAGATCTAAAGCTCTAGATCTAGTTGATATTAGAATATTTAATCGAATATCAAATAAAAAAAGAGCATCACATACGAACACACACGTATTATCATAACTTAAAATTTGCTTTTTTTTTTTTGCGAAATTAGTATACCGATTTTTTATAAATATTAAATATTTCTACATAATTTGTATTTTTACATATTGAATTAATATACAACAAAAAATAACGTTTGTTATGTAAACGATAAAAAAATAATGAATAAAAGATGAGAAAACCAAAATAGGAATCATGGTAAAATTATTCCGGGTCGCTAGCAGCTTATATGATATGGAGCATGAAGAGAAAGCGTCGCGTAGCGCATCCAGATATTACGACGTGTAGTCAGACAAAGAATTATGTTAATCATCATAACAAGGATATGTAAAGCATTACGTTTATTAACATGATTTATTTAAAATGATAATATTTTCTCTTCTCTTTAGTACATTCTGATAAAATACATGTACGTTTTACACGCCATGAATGAATTAAATCCCGTAAACAATATATTTAATACAGGGGTGTATCCTAATAAGTGGGGCGCACTTCAGCAGTCAATAGGAGACAAAAAATGAAAAAAGTTTATATAAACATATGTTTTTCTTATTCCTATTTGATGTTGTTTCCGATTTATAGCCGTTTTGTGCTCCAGTAATTTACAGTTGTTTACCTTCATAGGAGGTGCTCGAAATGGTCATATTTGTGGTTTGTGTTTATAAACAATGCTCAATATCTCCAGAATATTTCTCAACTTTGTTGATTTTATACATTCTATTAAGTGAATTATTAAGTGCTTCTAACAAGAGAACAAACTGAAGTGAGTAAGGAATGTGACGTTGTCAATCAATGGAATGTGTGAAATCGACAAGGTCGGGAAATATTCATCAGGAAATATTGAGTACTGTTTTCTATCCACTTTTGAAGTGCGTCCCATTTATTAGGATACACCCTGTATAATTATTACTGAAAATTTTGCCATGTATAACTTTCAGTACAAAAAAATATGAACAAAAGAAGATTTATTTTAAATTCTTCAACAATTTTTCTATATTGTAGAAACGAGTAAGAAAAATAATTTAAATTGTTACCCACACAAATAAGCTTTCAATAATATCAACTGTTGCATAATCAAAGTGATTTTGAAGCAAATACATCATTTTAATACACACACACATACACACACACAACTTTAAAATCAATTGCACCGAGAAGAAATTTTCTTATTTTATTATTTAGCTTGTATGGCGCATATAGGCTGTATATTATATAAGATGTTTAACTAACTTCCGGTTAGTTAAATTTCTTATATAAGACATCTCGCAGAAAGAAACAGAGGAACCTTTGTTAACTTTTGAATCGATGTAGGAATGCTAACAGAAGTATTCCTCTTAAAAAATATAAAGACTTTTACTTTTTTTACAATTTAAGGGTCCTTGAGCGCATCCGGAAGCTATTAGCCAGCGACAATTATAATTCCCCGCGAGTGTGCGATGGTTAAAAGCGATTCGCGAAACGAAAGTGAGACATCGGGAGGAAGTAAAGTGAACGAAGGGGCCTCCACTGCGCACACAACGAGAACACGCGCGTTTCGCGACGTGCTATATTCACCGAGCGCTCGAATCCGACTTTCTATCCTATCACGACACCTAAAGCGCAATGCCGCAATAGCATAAACGCGATATCGTTTCTATCCAAAAGCATCACTATGAGAGAACGGTCTTGCGATCCCGTGGCATTGACGAGATTTTTTTTTACAGTAAGTAATTATATGCGCAATTTGCATAGTTTGCTGAGTTATTTTCAATGCAGATTTAATTGCCAATTCCCTTGAAAATTTTCAGTTTTTGCGTCAATTTTGCGTTACACGGTTGTACGTCATTTAAAGCGTTATTATTGTTTAACGAGTTACTCTGTCTAACGTTACTGCGTCTCTTTTACTGCCGATGGGAGAGACAGCCCTATCGTGAGAATATTATCTCGCGAACTTGATGGACGGGTTACATTGATCCACTTTTACCACTCGCGCTCGCCGAACACTTCTCTGCAACGAATATAACGAGAGTTAATTCTCCATCCGCGAGAAGAAGCTCTAAATTGCGCTTTAACACAAGCCGTAATTCGATCTTTCGATTAAACCATCAACTTCATAGATCCGGTCTTTTGCTTTCAAATGTACGCTTTCTCTCCCTTCAGATGTTTTCCTTTCCACCCCGTACGAAGTTCAATCCGCACTTAAATAATACTATTTCTTCTCGATTAATTTATTACAGAAGACAAACTTGTTCCAACATGTCTTTGCATTTTCATTTAATTATTTCCATAATTCTGAAAACCTGTTTCCTTTAATTTCGTCATCGCGTTCGTTCAGAGTTGCACATAATTTATGTTACGAAAAGTTTTTCTAATTAGTAACTGTCCACTTATTAGCAAACTAATAATTAATACTTGATATTCAATTTGCTGTTTCCAGTTTCCTCCTTCCGCGATGATCGCTCTGTTCCTCTTCTTTCTTCGCCTTTCTTGCAGGGAGCTTCAATTGTTGCTTAATTGAGTTCTTTCAAGTCGAAGTCATCTAGCCGATTGAGACTTTTATAGCCGGTGGGCGTCGCACTATTTTGATTCCACTTGGTGAGCCGGTTTGGAAAATGGATTTATTCGCGAACGTTGAAGATGTGACGGCAAATTTTAACGCACGGTCACCAGGTCCGAAATGAGTAAGATGTCGACTGTTAGACGGTGCACGCCAAAGTAACCCGGTTGCTCGGCCGGCTGGTCAATTTAAGTAGGGATCGTCGTGGTGGTGCTAACTCTCGACGTGGACGGACACTCAGGACCTTCACCTACATCTTGTAGGCGCTCTCCGTCTCTCAGGAGCGAGAGATAGTATCGGGAAGTATGTTCGCATTTTGTACCGCCGCGAGTACAGGTGAATAATTTCAAAATATCTAAAATACATAATATGTGTGACAGTTACTAAAAACTCTGAAAGATCTGCATTTCTGATTTTATTAAAAAACGATAATTAACCATTTATATGATTGCCTAACAAAATTGAAATCGACTTTTCTTTGCTATACTCATTAATATATTTTTACAAAAATAAAATGTTAAAATCACGATTAGAATTTAGAAATGTATTTCACCACACATTGCCTTCCTTAATATTTTTTTCAATTAATGTAAAGTTGTAATTGATAAAAGCTATCTCCAAATTTCAAAATTTATTTATTATCTTGCTAATAAAAAAATAGAATAAAAATAATTTTTTCGAAAAAGTTTATGGAACTTGTTTAGAACAGTCATTACTATCATTTCTCAAAAAGTATCCGTGATTTACCACATAATATTTTGAAGCTGAGTCAAGTGTTGTTCATTGTTAAATATAAGCTCTGTCAACTATTAAAGTTTCAATATTTTATAACGCTCATATAATGCTGAGGTAATTATATAATGGTGAGGTAATTATAATGCAAAACTTCTTCATCGAATACAAAACGTCGGTTAAATATCAAAATTTTAATAACCAGTATTTATAGAGTTGAGCATTGCAATAAATAATATGAATGCTCGTTTAACAATTTTTTTTACGTATAGATTTATATGAGTGTAAACTAATATAAAATAGTTTGCAAATACGATTATGCTCTCCCAAAAATATTTAATTCGAGGAAGCGGACACAAGTTTCTTTTACGAAGCTTTATTTATATATGCACATTGCACATATTATATATGTATATTTTTTAAACACATAATGATAGTTTAAAAAATAATATTTTATTACTAAATAAAACATATATCAAAGATTTGTAGTAATTCTTATATATAATAATATTTGATTTTAACTAATAAAAATAATTGAATTTGACAGTAGCTTCTTTTGTTTGAATAAAGAAGAATAATATTCCATTTGATATACAAATATTATAAAATATTAAAATGTCATATAAATATTTGCCAAATTTTATAAAAGATCAAAATGCTTTTTTACGAAAGTATAAGTAGTAATAGAACAATACAAATTTTTAAGATGCCTGCATTTTCTTATGACACAGTGAATAACAACTATGGACAGACTGAACTTTGGCACTAAACTATTGTGTTGCAAATGATATATACGCGTGGCTTTTATAACAATGTTTTCCTTATGACATATCAAATAGCAATTATTATTAAACGCAAGTATAATTTTAAAACTGTTTTTATCGCGTTTTTGCTAAGCAACTTGTCTGAAATTATTCATGAAATGTCAGACATAACAGATGAAAATCAATTTGATATTTATTATCATTTACATTTATAATCGTGATTTAGTAAGGAACTCAAATAAAGTTCGTAACATTATAGTACATATACATATTAAAATACTTCATTTCGCGAGAAGGAAAAGGAAGAAGTTGTCAAATAGCGAGTGTATAAAACAGCTACGGATGGCATGCATATAAGAATCTTTATAGCTTATTTCTCAAAATCGCATTTTCAGAAAATAATTTTATTATATATAATTGAATTTATCTTTAAATTAGTTTTAATTTAGTTATAAAAACAGTTCAAAATTCTTAAAAACAAGTAGTAATATTTAAAAAAATATAACATTTTTTTTTAATTTGTATACATAAAAATGCGTTTAAAGGTTCAAACCTTTTTGCATATTTTTTATTATTTTAAATTATCAAAATAATAAGAAATAATTTATGTTTTTCACCATTAGGTGAAAAACATAAAAATCAACTTTTTCAAAGAAAATCCCTCTGCATAAAAAATGTGCATTAAAAAATTATTAAAAATATCTTTTATTTGGATCTAAACTACCAAAGCTCATCAAAGTCACAGAGAACACTTTAGTCTCTAAAAATAATTTATATCATAATACACATGAGTGATGCACGATGCCCGATGGGAGGGGGGGAGGAGGCAGTGTGGTCTAGGGTCTAGGGGCAAAGGTTTCAAGACTACTCATGATATGCAAGGACTCGGGTTCGAGTCCATCTGACCACAGTTGAAATATTTCGTCTTTTCTTCCAAAGTTACACATGTGTATAGTACACAACCCAAGGAGCGCCAATGCGCGTATAATGCGCTTTGAATGTACATTAAACTTTCCATTAAATGCGGATATTTGTCCCGCATTATATGTGCATTTAATGCATATTATGGAAGCGCATACCAAGAAGTGTACCTACGCTTATTGATCGAGGAGCCCAATCGAACAACTAGTGAACTCTGTACTATATTGGAATTTTTCTTCGTGCCCAGCTTTTATGCATTGCTGTGAGCATATTCCAGTACCAGCTATCACAGAAGAAAAGAATGTCATTTATTTAAAATTCAATTTATATAAAATTCAAAAACTTAAATAAAATGTTTCATAATGGAGAGTCAGAAGCTACTCATTTCATAAAACCTGTTTTTTATAAATTGAATGCTCAATTTGCATTAATTACGCATTTGAATGCGCGCATTTTGAACACACAATTAATGTGGTTTTGAAGCCAATGCGCAATTGTACGCGCATTGGCGCTCCTTGGGAACGTTATTTTCAAAATAATTAGTATTAGTATGAATAGACTAAAATTACGTAAAATTGTGTGAAGATCTTATTTTTATTTATATTCTTATACTGTAAAAATTTAAAGAGAATTAGGTCATTAAAAAGAAAAAAGTTTAAATGTTAATTTACGCATAATAATTAATTGTTAGGCAGAGTGAAGCTTTTGCTGGAATTTTACGAACGTATTTATTGTTTACAGATTTTCGTCGGTCAACTCGAATTGCGAAGGTACGAATTAGAATATCGCAACGATGTTACTTTCTTCGACATAAAAGCACCGTAGAAGCTCGCCCGTTCTCGAACGCCTTCGCAACCACGTCGCTGTTGGGAGATTCACTTTCTTCTCGTAATCTTTCATTTTGCTTTCACCGCTCTTTCGAATGAGGTTCACCGAGCGCTCCGATGGGTATCACGGTCATTTTTCGTTCGCAACAACGTTCAGCGATGCCATCGAAATTGATCATGCTTGCGCGACAAGCGAATCATTTAACATTTAACGGGATAAAATCACAAAGAATGCAGAAGAACATGCTGGGTGAGATTCTTATTATAATATTTAACGATTTCTCGGAACTTTAAGCATAAGAGATCTACTTATCTATACTGAAAAAACTGATACATGTTCCAAAAATAAACACAAATTTTAATATTGTATTTTAATCTTTAGACACAGGATCTAGTTGTTTTACATATTATATAACATGTTGTCCTTGAAAAATGGAATGTTTCCCTATATATAATTTTAACCATCAAAAAATAATGATTTTTTCGTTCGATACTTTAAACCAGTTCTTTAAAGCAATAAAAGAAATCTTATTTTACTCTTGCATTCGATTACAAGCACGATAAATTACTTTTATATGCGACATTTTTTCTTATTTTATTTTTTGCGAAATTATTGTTTGTAGATTTCGGTAAAAAAAATGCTGAATTTTATTCTCTGCAACCAATTTATATGGTTTTTACGACTGTAGAATATATTTCAGAAGCACATAATTTTTTTATGTAATAAACACGTCATCAAACATTTTGTTACATGAAAAGCTTAGTAAACGCTGTCTTATCAATTCCGGCATACAAAAGTGTGGGATTGACATACTGATGTTAATAAAAATGAAAACAATGACTAAACCTTTGCATAAAGACGAATTTTAGCCGCGACACTGGCTATAAAAGTTCTTTTTTTACTATATGCACGTACATAAGGAAACACGGGATGTCCAGAAAGCGATGAGCGTTTCACTTGTTAGCCAAATTGAACAATCGGACGTTTCATTCCGTCTTTCATTCCGCGAAATTAATCCGCGAATGTGTTAAAACCGGATCTGCCGCATGCTTTCTTTGCTATCGCGGCTACGTAAATTATTGCGCAATCGATCGCTGGCACAAGAACGTTTCTTGACGTCGTCGCGTCGGTGAAAGTCACGGCGCGCGCTTATGTATATCGAGGAATACGCCTTTCTATTCCTCTCCGCATTTTTGCGATGTTAGGGCCCTCGATAAGCCGATCTTCCTCGGTGTCCGCTCCGCTTTGCGCAGTCACCGATGTGTACGCTGAGAAAATTGTGCGGTAGCGATTAATATGTTATTAATGTCATTAAAACTGCACTCAGCGCTGCAGCATGAATCATCCAATTTCGTGTCTTAACAAATCCCACAACTTTTACTACCAGCAAAAATTGTGTTCTTTACTGACAATATTATTTGCGCTCCAAAAAAAAAAAATAATTGTTCTACTTGGAATTATTGGACTTTTGTATCTCGAGTTAAAAAATGTTTTTAATTCTTAAACTTTTTCATAATCCAATAAATTACTTACTTCTTATTTCGAGAGAATTGGAGAGACTTGTGCGTGCTGATTTAAAAAAGACTTTTTAATTCTTAAAGTTGACTAAACATTCGAGGTATAAATGTCGGCGAAAATCTGGGAAAGTAGAAATCCCAGCGGGGTTGTTTCATGACCGTAACTAATAAAAAACTTCGAGGCCAATTATGTGTAGATTCTTAAGTCAATGCGCGCTCATCAATTCAGTGGCGCGGGATATACAATTTATTGTGTCTATCGTGCGAGAAATAGGGTAAAGAGAAAAGATTCATGGCACGCAATACGTATTTTTAGGCATACGTCGACAAAGGTGAAATTTTTCATCTGCAATATAATTAACGGCTGAAAATATGGAACGATTATACATTATATATATAGCTTCAACAAAATTAGGAGAAACAGCTTAACACCCTGTCACTTCGATAACGTCTTTTTTTTCTCGGCAAAAATGCTCTCGAAAAGGTTGTCGACATGGCGAATCTACATACGGCATACACATGTATGAGGATGTAAAACATTCTCGAATAGGAATTTTGAGCGCTTTGGTACGATTATCATTGAACACGTGGCCGTCGTACAGATTCGTTGAAAGTTTCGTGTCGTCTGAGCGACTAAGAACACGTTCCAAGGAACGTTTCAGTCGCTGCACTTTCTCCGGCGACCCTAAAAGCTTCAACGACGTTCATTGAAACGAAAGTACAACGACCTCAGTAAAACAGTTTTGTACATATATTGATGAAATATATTCGGAATAATGTCGATCGATGATTTAATATTACCATATATCCATATTACTATTTACACAATGATAGGAATAGCGATAAACCCTTAAAAAACTATATTTTGATTTCAAAAGATTAAGCTTTGCAAATCGTAAAAATAATATAGTCCAAAGTTTAGTTCGAGCATTCAGGATAGGCAAAATCGCCAAACGTTTTACTGATAGTGTCTTTGCGTGTCCCTTGATTGCTATAAAACTCCACTAATAAATTACTTTATCTAACATCTTGCTTTCACGAAGGTTCTTGCGCGTGACTTACAACAATCCATATTAATAAAAAGTATTTAATTGTAATTGTACGCGATATTAACAGAAACTCGGACATTTGGGAAAGTAAAAATAAAAATCGTTTCTGGATGGAATGCGATATAATTTCTTACGGATATACATATATTTATATATATATATATAAAATAAAAAGCTGTGTACACGCCTCTACCGATGCTATATCTATGTATAAATGTACAGATGCACACGAGCGCGAGTACGCTCGCGTAAAAATCCGATTTATATTAATTCGCTTAACGATTTAACAAGAAAGCTTAAGTACAAAGCGCGACAATCGCGGAGCTCGTTACGTCTCGTGTCGCTATACGACTATTTGTCAATACGTTTATCCCTTCGTCGATTCAGTTCACCGTTGTAAACGAATTCGTATAAACGGTATGACAAAAAGTGTGTAATCGTACATAGCTTAAATCAGTCGTAAATCGTGTGCCCACCGAAATACGCGATAATGGGCGATCTTCTTAAACTTATACTATAAGTACGCCTGCGTTGGCACTGCTATTCGTAAAAATATCGGTAATAAATTTTCATTTTATCAAAACTATGTTGAAGTAATTACAAACTCATTGAAGATCGGGGTATAATTTGTTTAGCAATAATAATAATGAGTTACCAAAACAGAACTTTGTTAGCAAATAAATAGAAAAAGTCTAAACGCGTCCGATATTTAGCGGTATACAAAAACTTTCGATCGTTGTTCGCGCAACGAATTAACTGCAAAGATCATGTCATATATTTACAAAAATATATTCATCGTGTTTAACGATATTAGTATAAAATTTTCAAATGGCGAATTGTTATTTCTGCCAAATAACATTCAATTTTGGCAATCAATAATCAATTTTTACAAGTTTTATTTCATGAGTCGAGCAACTCATCGCGGCACATTCTAAGCTCGTACGACAACGTACGATAGTTGGACCATTTCTAATCCGGCAATCATCTAAGAATAACGTTATCGAAAGTTAGATCTCGGTTCTCGCGTTGAACGCCGGATTTTTTAAATGGATTCCATGGAAGCCTTCTGACTACGTGCGCCGTAGTGACGGATCCCGCCGGGCTTGGCTGGCCGGAAGAAACTCCAGAAGAGCTGCTCGCCGAGACACTGCCTTTATCGTGGTGATTGTTGGGTTTCCCTGGTTTCTAAAAGAATTAGTTTTTACCGTCGTACCGTCGCATTGGCTTAAATTATTCGTCAAAAAAATATTTTAATTATAATTGTCGTCTTTAAAAAAAAGAGAATATGAAAATAAACAAACAGAAAAACGTTATTAAAAACCAATTTATCTCAATTATTTAATCTCAATGGTATTGCTACAAATATTTTTCAAAGTATTTTTCTTATCTTATTAATTGACGTATTGCGTTATATGCTTTTTAGAAATGATATCAGTTATTATAGACTTTATCGTTCACCTTTAGATAATTCCTATCCATTGGGGTGACTAACTTCAAATTTATAAAGTCACCGCATTGCTTTATCATCCGCACGACTTGCTCGTGGGACGCCCACTTGACGTCCTTGTCGCCGATACCGACTATAAAGTCTCCTTCCTTCATCCCGCCCACCTGGAATAAAAGATAGTTCTCTGTTTTTATTCGTTGTCATAATTGCGTAAATACGTTACATAATTATAAAAAAAGAAGATTAAAGACAATTGTGAATACATCAGATGACGGAGATCATTAGATTATCTTACATCAGCTAGCGAATTGTGATCGACGGCGGCTATTATTACCGGAGCGTCGCCGCGTACGCTAAATCCGAAACCTTCGCCGTCAGGACCTCTTTGAAGCTGCACCAATCGCGGCGCGGTCCAGTGTCGTTTGGCGGAAAATATCGCTACGGGTCCCAACGACTTGAAAAGATCATCCACCCCGTGCTGCCCGAAATCCGGATGAGTAATGCTAAGTTGAAATTTCGTGGAGGCTACATTTGCAAACAGAAAATAAAATAAAATAAAAAATATCATGATTTATATATGCACCAAAATATAGGAGACAAAAATTATGACATGTTTCAATTTATGCTTTTTGACGAAATGTCATACCGATAATATCCGGTGGATCCAAAAGTTCTCGAAAATCATCCTCGCTACCGAATCTATTGTAGCTATCGAGCGTCGCTTCTTGCGCTTTCTTCAGGACCCTCGCTAGCGCTTTTTTACCCTTCAGATCACGGCACATTCTCTGAAGTCGTTGACTCTCGTCGTGTAAAACGAGAGCTTCTCTGAGATGTGCCTTGCCTGTAATAAAAAAATTCTATTCATATACATTCTTATAGATCAAGATAAATAAAAAGAAATAAATAATAAAAAAGTTATATAGAAATGTAAAAATAACATTTAATATATTAAGTAAGAGTAACTCTTATATGAAACAATAAGTTTTGCGGGTGAACGTACCCAATAATTTCCTTTCATTGTCATCTCTGGGAACGGTCGCGTCCAACTGAGTTTTCCCGTCGCTCTTTTGGATGTGCTCCAATGTGAGCCTCGTTTCCACACGAAACTCAGCGATCGGTCTGTCCAGCAGACCGACCGCGAGGTGCTTGTGAGCGAGGGCAAGATGGTGTTCGCGCTTCACCAGTATCAACGAGATCCACGTCTCTGGGACGTAGTCACGAACCGGCTCGCGCGATATCAATCCATGGACATCATTGTATATCGCCGCAACCTGGATTAATAATTATCTTCATGATTCACTTGTACTTATCACACTAATAATCGCAAGACAGCAGAAGAATCGTGACAAAGATTTTTTTTACCTGTGCTGCCTCTTGAGCAAGATCTAAGCAAACATCGACGTTTCTGCCATCCTTCGATTGTAGCTCCAGCTTTTCGAAGAGGCACTCCCTTGCCTGAGCCTAACATATAGAAATGCGAAATAAATTTAATTGTTAATAGTAAATATGCGATACATGATATTGAAGAATTATTAATTGCGAGATAGAATAGTCCTTTATTTGAACATCTACGATAAATACCAAATTAAGAGCGACGAGAGCGAGAACTTACGAGCATTAATTGCACCAGCATTTCAAGCATATCCGGTCCCAGATCCATACTTGGTGCGTTTGTAAAGTTCTCGTGGATATATCGGAAGGTGCCAGCCGCTCTGAGAAAAGCGTCGACCGCTTGGTCGAGTCCTCGAGCGGTCAAACGATCCTGTTTGGCAGCCAACTGCGTATAAAGTGCGCCAGCATTGAAGAGAATAGACGCCTTCTCGAAGGCGACCGTTCGCTGGCAACTCGGTACTCCTGTCAACGAATCGAACCATTCGAAATAAATGCCAAGGCTTCTGTCGGGCGGAAAGAAACGCCTCTCTATGAAATAGAGCTGATTGTAATAACGCAGGAGTAACGCGATGCCCGCCGAATCTCTGGTCGGTGTCCTCGTAGCCTGCGGATTTAAAATAGTAAAATATTTATTTATAACATTTATTTCCTTTATATTCACTAACTTAAATTCTATATTTTGAAGTAATATTCAAATTATTGACAATTATATGACACGATTCAATTTATTCCAGAAATTACGTTCAGACAATTTGCACAAAGTTCTTCAATAGAAAGTTTCTAAATTACAAATAAGAAAGATAGACTCAGTTTTCTTTTTTAATTTGATGGAAATTATTATGAAAAGAGATACGCGTTATTTGCTTACCTGCCTGGTTTCCATCAGGTCAGCTATAGCTTCTTCGTAGTTTTCCCCATCCTCGCTATAGTGTTCCAAGATGAAGTCCTACAAGTAAATAAAAGATCGTTCAAGCAGGGCGATCAATAATTCGTAACACGTGCACGTAGCACGTGGAATCACAATACGTGACGAACAATGTTAAATCGATATCTTCATAGCAACTACGAACTACGAAGCTTTCTTGGTTAATGCATGCTGGCATCTCTTCTCACAACACTTGCGATTTTTCTCTCGTAATTCTCGCTAAAGTTAGAAGCTGACGCAAGATAAAAATGGTGAAAATCACCCTCGAATTAATACGGAAACGTTCGGAGCATAATGAGGGCGAAATATCAACGTTGGAAGAGATAGCTTTGCACCAGGAAAATATTGATAAAATCCAGCTGATAGACAGACACTGCAGGAATCTCAGGATCCTCCTGTTGCAGCACAATCTAATATCGAAGATAGAGAATCTGAGTATGCTGAAGAGGCTGGAATATCTGAATCTGGCCCTCAATAATATCGAGGTTATCGAAAACCTGGAAGGCTTAGAGAGCTTAAAGAAGTTAGACCTCACCATCAATTTTATCGGAAATTTACAAAGTGTAAAAAATCTCAGGTATTTTTCTTCATAATTTTATTATTATTATTATATTATATATAAACTATATACATAATTTCTAATTATTTTATTTTATAATAAAATTACATCATGTTAAAAAATATATCAAAAAAATACGTTAAATATAATTTATGAAGTCAATTGGTCAAGATTCAACTATCAAAATCAATCAGCGTCAAACTTCGATCAATTGTGCGTCAATATGACATCATTTCGTTATTATACAATTTCAATAGAATTATAAATCACTTTTGATTCTCTCTCAATTGCATGTTTCACATAGGTGCAACGAACATTTGGAGCATCTGATTCTAATGGGAAATCCGTGCACGGATTACGAGTACTACAGGCAATACGTTGTGGCTACTTTGCCGCAATTGCAAGAGCTCGATATGAAAGAGATTGAAAGATCGGAACGTATCAAGGCATTGCAGATCTATTCGCGAGCGCGAGACGACGTTATCGAGAGCTACAAGCATTATGAGAAGACTAGGATAGCTCAACGCGTTCGTCGCAATGCACATGAAACCACAGAAACACTCAAGCAGATGGTATATTTTTCTTGACGATGTACATAAGTGATAGTATATCGGTAATGCAATGTCTGAGCTAGTATGCAAATTGCAAAGCGCGTTAAATATTAATTATTTAATAAGGCAATAATTATCTAAATACTATATTGAAATATGCCATTAACGTTTAATCCACAAGATCATAAATTAACATATTTTATGTTAAATTGTACGTGAGATTTTTCAGAACTATTTGATTTGAATTACAAAAGGCTTTTAAAATCAAAATGTACAAATAATGTTGACATATTTTTCTTAATTAAATAAACTATACATGTATCTGCGTGAATGTTTTTCAAATCGTCCGTAGTTTGCTAAGCGCGTAAACAGTTACGTAGCAGAACATCATTTATGCATGAAAAATGCAAATAAGAACGTTTAACATCTTTTTCAGAGTACTGAGGAAAAGGTGAAACATACAAAGAACGAGCGAAGCGAGAATACAAGCACAGAGCAGGATGACGAGTCAGAGGACGAACATTTCTGGAAACAGCCTAGTTATCATACGCCGGAAGACAGAGTCGCCATTGCTGAGCGATTCATGAAGAAACAAGAGATGAAGAATCGCACTTCGGATAAGACCACTCATCCAAAACGTGCGCTGAAATTATTCGCTCCAGATGGAAGAGCATATAATATAAATCGAGCGAAGGTACCATTCAGATTAAACGATGAAGATGATCCCGATTTTGTTGTTCTTGAAGTATCCGTTTACAGGTAATTACTAATTAATACGTGGTGCTAAATAGCAGCATACACTGTATCCGAGCAGTAAATAATTATAAGAGTAAAAAGGCACATTGTAAGAACTTATTTTAAAAAACTTATAAACACTTTTCAAGAATAAACAATCAATTTTTAATATATCCATTGTTTAACGACACCGGTTATTTTTGTCTATCGCAAATTTTGAAGATTTATCAAAATTTATTAAAAGTATATCCCACATTATTGCGCTTATTTTTCGTATTCGTAGACACTTGGACACTTCTTATATCGACGTCGACGTAAATCCGACTTACGTGCGAGTCACTATAAAAGGAAAGATCCTGCAGTTAACCCTGCCCTGCGAGGTATCGGTTGAGAGAAGCAATGTTCGACGGAATACGACTACCGGAAGTTTAGTGATCGCTATGGCCCGTTTGACTCCGTGCACAACAATCGTGAAAAAGAACGAATCGACGAGAAAGAAGAAATTCAACGAAAGCGAAACAAAGGTAATTACAGTTCGGGCACCGATGACCTCCCAACGAGTCCTCCTCGAGATCGGCCCGGCCACAGATATTCACGATTTTCTGAAGATAACTAAGAATTCCGCGAAACAAACCCAGAAGAAAGAAAAGAAGGATCTTGATAATTTCGAGAACAATTCGGACGTACCGCCTCTCGAATAAACTCAAACTAATTACGAAACCTGATGATGATCTCATAAATTGATCATTATGTTGATTCGGGACTTACCTTGAACGGATCCCGAAAGTCAATATCTTTGGTCTCCTTGAGTCCCAATGGTATCATCGGCATAACGGGCTCATCACTGAAAGAAAATACCGTTCGATGCAATACCGTACGTTTTTGCCACTTATATCAGTAAAATTTAATAATTCTCGCCGAATTTACCCATCGACATTCTGATACAGCTCCACCGAGCTATTCAACTCGGCGAGCTGTTCCTTCAGCAGCTGTAAGTTCGAGTTGACGAAGCTTAGCTCCAAGGCGACGGTCTCCTTTAATTTTCTGTTGGTCGTCGCCCTGTAACATAATTAATAAGAATTAAGACAAATGCAAATATATTACTTATAAAATGTATTATTAATTGTACAAAATTTTTTTGTATATTACATTTATTTTCGATCATAGACCATGATCACTTAGGACTTTCAGTTTTGCAGTAGTGTTTGTAAATAATTATATAGATCGCAGAATAAAAAAATTATCGTTTTAAACGATCTTAAAGCAATTATACCAGAAAAGATACAAAATTCTACACGAATTTCATGGTAATTTATAAAAATAACTAGCTGTAATCAGCTTAATAATTATATTTAAATATTATTTATTATATATTGATGTGTAAGTGCGCCGTGGCGTGTGAACGCTTACTTAAAGAGATTCTCAGCGCCCGCTCGTAGCCGCAGCTCCTTGTTGATCTCCTGGTTGAGCTTACTTCGCTTGTTCTGCAGCTTTCCTCTGCAGGTCGCTACCCTCGGATCCGAACCCTGCGAACCATGAAACGCATAGTTAGCGATGCCTCCGACGTATCATGTATGGCTCGTAATCATATAATCCGCAAGGATTGCCGCAAAGATAAAGACCAGTTCCGCTAGCCATGTTGATCAACTAACTCTGGCCGGCGATTATCTATCGTCTTTTCGGATCATAGCGGATAATATGAGTGGAAACAAGGCGATAAAACGATTTTCTTATACATGTTTCTTATATATGTCCCTTTCTCAAATTGCAATGCAAATTCCACCCAATCTTCTCGAAAGATTTTCTTTTCGATGATGACTGTTGAGAGAATTGATACTTTCTTACGTATAAATAATTCTAATTAATATGTTTTAATATTTTACGTCTTAAGAAGAAAGTATCCAATATTATCGGATACAATGATATTAAGGTATATTTATTAAAGTTAATTACCTCTATGGTTATACAACACTGCGATAATAATTAAGGTAACATTTAATATCTTTTTGATATCAAGGTAATTCGAAGCAAAGTAAATATATCGTACTAATTAAATAGTATTACCATAAAGCTGATTATTATTGCGCATCGCTAATGCGCAAGTTATTACATTTTATTTTAAAATTAGTGCACGCAAAAGTTTATAGGTAGTTTTTTGCTATGTTCTAACTGATTGTGAAACAATGTAAAAAATGAAACGTGATGAATCGGGAAAAAACGCTGATAGATGTAATTATACGCTAAGAAGTATCAAAGTACAAGAAAAGAAGCAAAAAGAAGACACGGTCGCGGTTATCGCGCGCGAATTACTACACATCGGAAGAAGCCGCGACGACCTCGCGATCGCCGACCGTGCAGCCGACTGTCAAGTTCGGACTTCCTTTGCTCCTTACCCCAAACCGGAAGCATCTCCTCATGATAGCGTCCGGCGTGGCGGTTTTCGCGTTTCGCGCACTTCGCACCGTGTCAACGCCGTCTTTTCTTCTGTCGAACGCCCTTCTGTCCTCCTCCTCCTCCCTCGTAGTCTCGCTCGAAACGATCATCCTCGCGTCCGAGGGAGCGATCGCGCGATCCCTCGGCAACGGGCAGTAATGCACCCACTTTAGCATGATCGCGAATGCATGGGCAACGATCTCGATCGTACCATCGGAACTGAGACTGTTCTCCGCGCGGATTACGATTTTCTAACGGCCGATCATCCTTCTCTCTCTCTCTCTCTCTTTTCCTTTCTTTATTTTTACGTAAGAATAGGATATGAAGAATGTGATATAAAAAAAAAAATCTCTAATGTAGTAATGACTTGTAAATTATAGAAGCTGCGATTAAAAACTTTGAATTAGCGCGTAGATAGAATCCAATGCTTTATTGTGCGGAATGTTTCATATAACGTTTATTATCAATTATCTATGTATACCCTAAAATAGTCTCTTTTCGCAAATTCAAAACTGATCTTTTCCCTGCAGATTTAAAGCACGGCATTATTGCCAACAAAGAATTAAGTATATAGTAATTAAATAATTCATGGAACCTGCACTGATGTAACAACAAAATGCGATTTCCGGATTGATGTCAAGTTGTTATTCTAACATAATTTTTTTTACCGGAAGCTTTAGTTTTATTAACATATATTTCTTTAATGCTGAAAGAGAATTAAAATAAAGGAACAACAATTCAGTTATTTTTCATTAAAGAAACGGAAGAACAATACTCAATTAATGAAAAAAGAGAGAGAAAGGCACGCTATATATCCAAGAATGTCAGATAAACACAATTTTTTCAAAATCCTCGCAATCTAGCCTGCACTTATCATCTTGCAGAACTTAATCATTGCGTAAAAGATTAGTCGTAAAAGTCTTAATGATTTACAAGCGACTTAAGAATGCCCAGACACACCTATTTACAAACTTTATGAGATATTAATAAGGCAACGATTAGGTTCACGTTTTGTGCGTTATATCGTTTATATTCATGTTACGTAAATCAATTTAACTTTAAAAAATATGCAGATTTGCTTGTTATTCCTTTAATTCTTATTTAAGTAAAATGGACGCATAATATTTGCTTTCACCGCAAAAATGCTGTTATTGCGGCTTACCGCAAATGTTGGAAGGCTATCGCGTCGCGATAATTTCAATAAACGCGAAAGCCGATGCGCGTTGCCGAGCGATACAGCACGGCCGATGATGTTCAACGAGATCTAGTCGTGTCTTATCGTCTCACAAACCGGCTTCTAAGGAAATGTACAATGTAACGAGATTGCGAGACGCGCATTCCCTTTTTATCTTCTAAAAAAAGAAAGGAGCTTTTACATTAACGAAGGTCATTTTATCGAGAACGTAGGATGTAATTTCAAGATGTGATTTCAAATTTTCGACAAAAACTTATGGTCTCGTTTGTCACCCAAAACAAACCAAATGGTTATCAATTAAAAGAGAAAAATGGATTTCTTTCTCGCAGCCACATCCTCGATTACGAAGAAGATGACTGCTAAAAAAATATTGATAATTAAATAAACCACGAAAAAAAAGAAATGAAGAAAGAGATAAAAAGCAGTCTTATGGGGTTTATGCGGTTAGCCTTTATTTTAGACGTAACGGCGGACTAGGTGTTCACGTTACCGTAATTCCGTTCCACTCTACTTAATAAACCGTCTCATTAATGCGATAAGCGCGACTCGTAGGTAACGATGGGTTATCCGTAGCTGTCGTTCGTGCAAACCGAGCAATATAAAATTCGAAAGGCGCGTCCCCCTACGCATTCCGCCGCTCGCCTCTGCTACAGTTTCCTGTTACGATGAATTTTGTACAACCGGAATCGTAACGTCATTATAACATCGCGCGTCACCGAACGTATATACTAGAATTCTCGCGGTTACGCGAGTTCTTCCTTACGTAATGCGTGTATACGTAAGGACGTATCAATCCATGCTGTGAAAAAATTATTTCTGCCGTTCTCAAAGATAGAATAAAGTATTGTTTTTTTTTATTTTGTCTCGCGCAAAGATAAGATGAACTATTGTCTTATAATTCCTTTTCCAGTTTTTTTTTTTTTACGTATAAATGGAGACTTAATGGCGTAAATGTAAATCTGTTACATCTATTATATGAGGTGCAGATTCCGTAATTTCATATTGTGCACGAATAAGGTCTCGGCTAATTCAGAAGTATGTTAAATGTTTGTTAATTATGGCGTTTCATTCAGACGCGAAAGCAACAATAACGTAACGTAGGAAAACATTCATATTAGAATAAATAGAATATGCAAGCGCTAACTCGGTCAACCAGAAGTTACGATCGGTGTTTCTCGTTCAACAGGAAATTGTAACGTCCAGTTCCTCTTGACATAAATATCGGCAGCTCGCTTATCGGTGCGCCGATTTGCAAAACACCCGCCCATACGTGCAAAGTGTCCCGGGAATCGTGTACTTCCTCTGAATTATAGATAATCTATTTTTATTTTTGTCTCTTTCCATTTGTCTAACTATTGAGTATTATGAAAAGATTATAATTTTTAGACGTGTAATTTTTTATAATTCTCCATCAGAAAGGATTGAGCGTACAAATAATTAAAATAAACGATCTTTAGACTTATTTTAGGACCATAATGTACCATTTTCGATACGAAACTAGACATAGGTGTTAAGTGAAAAAAAGTTTCAGAAATCAAACGAATAGACAAATCAATTTTAGCTATCAAATGAATGATGATTTCAAATTCTAGTTATTAAATAAAATATTATAAGCCTCTTTTCTTTTCGCTTTACATTTCTACTCTAGTCCATCAATTAAATCGATTTACATGGCATATATCAAAGTTATTTAAACATTAATCTCGTTTTTTAATTTCAAACAAAAGAAAATTAATCAATCGCGAAATGTATCCCATTAAATCCTTGATTCTAAGGAAGAATTGATCATCAGTTCAAATCGTCTTACAGGATAATTCTCAGCCGAGAGGAAGATACACTTGGTTTCGGGACACTGGATATGCCGCAACGCGGATTCGTATGCGACATTAACGACTTTGCCGGATGTTATCGCGCGCTAAATCTACCGTAACTCGCGCGTTATTAAACGTCGCGGCCTCAGTAGCCGGCCGGCCGCATATAACTGTTTGCTGCCGTTTCAGGCGAATCAAAGACGAGGCCGGGTGGAATCGGTATCGCCGGACTAAATCGGCATCGAGCGTTCGTGCGTAAAGAGCAGCGATTCACCGTGAGATAGCCTTGTCATCGAAGAGACTCGCGCATCCTGCGCATGCAATATTCAATTAGATTTGCATGGAATGTTCAATTAAATTATCACCGTGATAGCGAGTGCCGTTTCCCCTTTGCAGCTCGATTAAGACTTTAAAATAATTATTTAGATGTTCCGCACGCGGACCGTTGTTGTTTTTGCAGAGAATATGTACATTATATAATATACATATAATTCAAGCAGATCATGAAAAAGGAGCAGAAATAGATCACAAAAAGCAAACGGATTGTAAAATATTTTGCATATTACACTATATAGCACGTAAATTTATACAATATCAAAATAGTTACAATAACAGGAGACAACCATCGATTATTCCCCTTGAGTAATGCTATCCCTATAATAATATATTGTTAAAAATATTATAGACAGTTTAGATATAATATATAAGTAGAGCTATTAATAAATATGAATAAATTATTTTGTGCGCAAGCTAGATAAATAAATTGATCCATTTTGTACCCTTATACGTAAATTTCTAAACTTTAATGCACACCTGTACTTTTTTAAAACAACGGTCGCGTGGGTTAACACATTATTATGTAACATTCGCCCACGTTCGGCACACGGACACCCGATATTCCTAATTCGTCAGCATTTGATTTATGCGACCTCGATACTACGCGGCCTTGCCCAGCGAATTTATGAGACAAAGAAGCGCGCGTGTTCAAATTATCGTATACGCAATCGCATTTTGCAAATCTCCTGTCGTTCGCCCGGCACGCGTTGTTGCGAAAATGCGAACAAATACGATCGCACTTAATAATATC